AATCAGCACAGTGCTGTGAAATTCTGTACTTTAACTCAGTTCCCAGTTGATTGTGACACTAATAATCTAGTTAATTTATTTAATTCTTTATGCTCGTCCACCTTAGATTTTATAGCTCCCCTGAAAATTAGACCTAACACAAAATCTGCTCGGCAGCCTTGGCGAAATGACACTATTAGAGACTGTAAACTGAGCGCAGATGGAAGAAATCTGGTCTCCAAGTACACTTCACAGCTGTGAAAGAGCTTTTAATCTGCTATAATATAATGGTGAAAGACGCTAGAACACACTTTTTCTCTAATGCTATCATAGCACAATCCTAGATTTCTCTTTAACAGTGTTGACCTCTTAATAAATCCTACCCCTCCTTGTGCTTTGGCTGACAGCGGCACAGATTGGGAAAACACTTCTTTTCAATAGTTTTGTGTCTTAGTCTAAATTTGAGTTCTAGTAAATTGACACCCGATAGAGGTGTCCATCTTCATAACAGGCACCCCAACCTGGTGCCTCCCCCTATTGGTAGAAGTGGTTCTGACCAGCTTATGGTTTGGAGTGGTACTTATTAAATGTGGTGCATTTTAATATGGGGTATCAGCAGTTTGCAGTGTTGCTGTGCGTTTGCAGTGGTTCTCTTAGGGTGTGTGCAAAGTTCCCTTGCAGTGCTGTGTCATAGGGTGGTAGAGTGGCTCCGGTGACCATTAGCGGTTGACCTTTGTGAGGGCTCTCTGCTTGCGGTGTCCTTTTTAAAATGAATTTGTATTCATTCCTGTCTAGGATAAGCGGTTGACGATGGATGGATGGATGGATTCATTCCTGTCTCTGTGGTTCTGTTCTCTGCCTCTGACGCCGGACCAGACCAGGTAAACTAAGGTGGTGGCAGTGTTATGCTGTCTTAAAATCTTTCATTATTTTATTACACTATCTATGGGCCCTTCAGGTGAGCTAAGCCAACATGTTCTTACTCCCAAGTTGTCAACCATGGACACATGGTCAAGACCTTTTGGCGTCAGTTTGTAAGCCCTTTAGCGTCATTGTCGTGGAGCTACCCCATGCCTTCATTTAAGCCAGTGGTAGAATCAGTATTAGCATGCTAAGCTAACCTTAGCATGAGCATTATCATAGGCCTGTTAGCCATTGAATAGATCTAATGGTGCATTCCATTTGACATGGGAAGTCGGAAATTTCCAAGTTCAAAGTCGGAAATTTCAAAGGGAACGCCCCCTTACCCCTTAAGTTGGATTTCCGACTTGGAAAGGTGGGAGTACCACTACCCCGATTTCGTGATCCAAGATGGGTGCTCTGCATATCAACAGTTAGTGAAAGCTGTAGTTTATACTGTTTATTAGCACTTCTGCGTACTTGTGTCTGGAGTACTGGAGTACCTAAGGTTTTCTGTTTTGGGAAGTTTTGTTCAGGATGCAACATTTAATTTCTGTTTTTAAAGTTGTTATATTGTGTATTAATGTGGCTAGAAATGTTTGAGAATGTTGAGTTAGCATAATGGTGTTTGATTGATTTTCAATTAACTTTGGTTTGTCTTGTAGGAGGGGCTTCTGGTATAAAGGAAGGAGGTAGATTCTCCTCTGGGCAGAACAGCGTTGGCCTGGAAGGGCAGCATGTGCTAGAGCAGGACCTCATAGTTTTTTTTGTGTTGTTTCACTAGCAAGGACCACACAATCAACAGGTATGATTAAATTATTTATTGATGATCGAAACAGAAGATGTACGAGGCTTGTGGTTGCCGAAGAGACATTCGAAAGCGTTATGGGGAAGCTACGATAGGGAAATCCGCCGTAGCACCCGGGCACGACGGATCCCTTATAATCCTATGAAGAGGAAGAAGATCAGGAGGCAGGACAGAGAAAGGGGTGGGGGGGAGGGATGCAGGATACAAGAGCGAAGGGGAGGAGTTAGGACGTGTGGGTATTTATGGAAATGCTGGCGATGACGTACGTGGTTGATGTGTGGTCCCGCTCCTGAAACTCTGCTGATTAGCACCACTTAATATAAGTTCAGGATGTTAGTTTGAATAGTTTGTACTTAGTTTCCTAGTTGTTTGTTGTTTTATTTTATTATATTTTTGCAACAATACACTCTTTGCACTACTGCACTTTCTATGTGACTGGTGAATAAATAAACTGAAGCACCAGGTGAAGAGCTCCTGTACTCATCTAGTTGACTGGTATTTGTTTCCCATGTGAAACAAAAAGTTAACATTCATTGTTTTTAGTATGTAGGCTGTGTAGGTTGCGTAAGTAATGTTAAGTAACTTACGTAAATTAGTTATATTTTAGTATCGTAATATTTTACCCCAAACCATGATATTTACCTAAACCTAACCAAGTAGTCATCACATATGGACGCTTGGTCAAGACCCCTCTCTGTTGCTTGTTAACACCCCGGGCTACCCTTTAGCATTGTTTTTTGGGCATGGAGAGCTCCACGTCAAGTTAGCAAGAATAAATATGCAACATCTGGTTAGACTTAAAAAAATAAAACTATTGTTGCACAACTAGTGGTGCACTAGTTGTGCAGCAATAGTTTTATTTTTGATGAGAATGTGTTGGTTTACCGACACACTGTGCATTGGTGTAAGCCATCCGTGTGCGTATTTTCACTATTGTCTGTTTCTATCTTATATTGTATGTTTCTTATATTTTGTCATATTTTTTTACTCTTGCTGCAGCCCAAATGGCTCACTTGGGACAAATAATGAATTGAATTGAATTAAAATGTTGCTAAAAGAAATGATAAGTGGCCATGTGTCTTTTCTGTGACATGCTTTTTAACACATTAAAAGGTCTCAAGACATAATGCTGCAATTAGCTGTGTGGGTAGTGATTCTAATTGGCCCTGAAACCTTCATTAGAAAGTGTGCACTGCCAATTAGCCTGAGCAGCCAAGCCTGGAAGAAGAGGTCACCTGGCTCCACTTTCCCACGACAGGACGCTCTCCTAACTCTTAGTCAGCTAGAGGACGTTTGTTATTCCTTGTAGATTTCAAAAAATATATAATATATAGCCTGTTCCTACAATGAATGAATGAAAATAGTATGGTGGGGGTGGGGGGGGGGGGACTTCTGTATTTGTAATTACTACTTAACTTACTGTAGGTTCAGTGTGCACAAAAGTGCTTTACTCCTAATGTTGGATCAAAATCTAGTACAGCATACAAAATGAAAACACCTGCGTCAAATTAGGCGTTATTTTGTTTATATTCATCATTTGTTTTTATCAGTCATGCATTTTTGAATAAAATTATCCTAATGAAAAATCCATAAAACAATTACTTTTATTAATTTGCATTCTTGTCAAACAGAGTATGCAGTGGTCATTTCCTTAAGTATTTTTAACAAATAACAATGAAAAAAGAGCTTCTTACACAAAAGTATTTAAAATGATACAGTTCAAATTCCTTTAGAAAACCTTACTAAAATACAGTGACGTATTTTAGTGCTGTACTGTAATATAGATAATGTAGACTAGAATCTTACTCCATGTACATTACAGTACGGTGTTGCTGTAGCCCAAGAATTGAGTATGTGCTTTAGTTTTAAGCACTTGTTTTCTTCTTTCCAATAAATGTAGGGATTTGGTGTGAGCCACTTTGGCTCGTCGCATGAATAGATTTGCATATTGAAGCTCTGTTGGGAAAACTGCAAAATATGAATAAATAATGGATAAAAAACAGTGGACAGGATTGCAGCATCAGTCTAACCCTATTTAAAGGATGAGAGCAAAACCAGCAATGACTGTAGTAAGTATTGTGTGTGTATATCCAGAACCTGATATATCTTTTTTACACATACTGCTCTGGTGACATGTTCCTTCATTATTATGAACACACATGCTGTAGTTTATTTTGACTGAATCCCACATGTCCTCCTCTTTTGAGTAACATTTGATAGAAACTACCTGGCCCTGTTAAAAACTGTAATAACTAGGCTACTTCTGTTTGCAAAGAATATTTGAGGTGGGTGTGTTGATTTCTCACTTGATGCAAATCCCTCAAACTGTTTGAGCAATCAACTCATCCCCAGAGCAGGTTCCTGCTTATTTGCATGGGTCTCGGCCCATGCTTTGCATTTCATACCCCCCCTCCCCACACACATGCTCCTGTGTTTCTCTCTCTGGGTCTCTCCCTCCATTCGGTCAATCCCTTTGAGTTTCCCTCTCATTATGAAGTGTTAGAAAGTTGCTGAAGTGAGAAATGAGCCTGCGAAAGCTGTTGTCCTAATTAAACTTTGACATAAAGACAAGAAGCGATGGAGGGGAAACAATAGCAGACTGTGTATGAGTGCGAGTCCGGAGCAAGCGAGCAGCTTTGTCCCCAAGAACAAAAGCAGTTGTTTGCATGTGTCCAGCTACATTCAACTTCACCAGGCCCAGGTGCAAAAAACAACTTTGCGAGGAGAATCACCATTCCTAACACCTTTGCATGGTTGAACAGCCCGCAGTCGGTCCAAATAGGCCGACTTAAGCAGATCAAAGCTGCTGTGTTGCGATGTAAATATTGTGCAGCAGAATGAATTCCGTCTCATTACTTGCATTGCCTTGACTGAAAGACACAGCCAAGTAATTCAGGTGTGAAATTTTACTCGACTCTCCCTTTGCTTTTTGAGAGACCCCCCACCACCACACACACACACACACACACACACACACACACACATTGAATGCGTGCTCACCGTCAACCCACCAGTTAGAATGAAAATAAAAATGCACTGCATTTATTCACCATGCCGTGGCTGATCATGGCAGCCGGGTGCTGCCTTGCTTAAATTGTACAGTAACAAGGTACCAGCACAAGGCCACCATGGTCCACACTATCCACACTGCATTATTAAATAGGATCCATGCTGATGGATGTTTAAAATGCGCTGCAGGAACACGAAGCCCCTCAAATACGGGCTCCTTGATTCTTGACCGGGGCGGAGCTCTCTTCAACTGTTGTGCGAGGAGGGAGGAACTCTACATTCTTATAAAACAGCCAGCGGATGGTCTGACAGCGTTGAGTAGACGGAGCAGACACGCTGGTTCTGGACTATACAGTTGACCTAGAATGGCACAGAACGGAACAACAGAGAACGGAGTGGCCGACGGGATTCCAGCTTTGCCTTTTCCTCAGCCTGTCAAAGTCCAGGAGGTCAGACACACGAAGGTAAGGGGGCTCTGCAAGAAAACCAGGTCTCACCGCTGCAGGTAGGGTGTGTGCGTCAAAGCATCTGCGCTAGTTGTGATTAGAACTTTTGTGACATTGTAGCCTAAAACGGGTGTCAGTTGGGGCACAACAAAGCAATTACAAACACTTTCCACTCTCCACAGATTTTTATCGGCAATGAATGGCACACATCCAGCCGAGGAAGGACCTTTCCGACGTTCAACCCGGCCACATGTGTCAAGATTTGTGATGTTGAGGAAGCAGACAAGGTAAGAAGGCACCAATTCCATTTTATTTATAACATTAATAATAATTAATTAAACTTAGTGGATGCCTTTAATTGCGTTAACTTAGCCCACCCAAAGTTGGAACAAATGTCTGTTTGTGTTTTAATTATGGTGGAATGCGAAATGACGTGCTTTTGTACATAATTATGTACTGTGTGTCTTTGTATTGTGTCGTTTTATACTATTTTATTTTACTGACATTGACCTATGTGTCTGAAATAAAGTTGAGTTTTTTGCCAAACCTCATTTAAACATCTGTTAATTTACTTGTAAGAACTTTATAAAATAGATAAGGACCTTAGCCAAATTCTGTCAATAGGCTATGTTATATAGCCTGCGAAGTAGCATTTTATATCCACAAAGTAGATTTGCTTTTTAAGTTTTAAGCATGTTTGAGTTGATGTGGGTAGGCCTATTTCAAAAGAAATATTGCTGTGTTGTGCTCATACAGGGGATCACTGTCCTGACACTGTCCCACTTTGGCCTACTTAATTTTTTCTTCTGTGTAGGAAGATGTGGACAAGGCGGTGGAGGCAGCAAAGGCGGCCGGGCAGAGAGGCTCTCTGTGGCGGAGAATGGACGCATCCAGCCGCGGGAGGTTGCTGCATACCCTGGCAGACCTGATGGAGAGGGACCGGCTCCTGCTGGCGGTGGGATCATTGCCTGTACTTTCTTTATGCTGCCCACACTGCTCTATAGCAACTGAATGTTTTCTGCAGTAAGCTAGGCCTACTAACTTTTCTGAATCATTCCAAGGCTACAGCCTACTGTTCAATTCTGCATACAGTAGGGTGGTAGCCTACATATTGTAGGCCTACACTTTATTTAAATAACATTGAAAATTGTGATTGCTTTTCCTCATAAATGTGATGGACATAAACCTATACCATTCCAGCATTACAACAGTGGTTCAGTAAGGCTGACTAGAAGACAAATAAGTTAATTGAAAACATATTAACTGTGTGGCATGAGGCTACTTCAAACTACATATTAATTAATTCCAAAACTGAAAAACAATATAGCAATATTAAGTGGTAGGCTACATGACAAGATGATTTGAATTGCTCACTTCCATAGTGACAGCACATTACTGTTGCTTAGGACACGAAAATAACAGGCTGACTGCAGGAAGTTGACCTGATCGATTATTTAGTGGTATAAAAGTCAAGTGTAGGAATGCAAACCCTATACTGAAATGACCACTTCATTAAGAAAGAAGTCTTGCATTCAAAATGTTGCTTAAGTAAAAATAAAGAAGCATTACATGCTAAATGTAGGCAGCTTTAAGTAGGCTATCAAAAGCAGCATGTCCCCTGGCATTATATATTATGTTACTTGATTATTATTACTAGTGCATTGACTTGTAATCTGCTGTAATGTTATGTTCTTAATGTTATATCTGCTCTAGGTGGATTGGTTGTATTTATATTTTGTTCTGTAGCTTATTTTACTGTAGAACAATGCATCATATTTTATTAAGATTAAGAAATCTTAATCTGCTAAGTAACTATATGTTTCAGATAAATGTTGTTTCCTCTGAAATGTTCTGAGGTAGAAATATAGTGTATAGCATACAATGTAAATAATACATTTTATTTGATGGCACCTTTCATGACACTCAAGGTCGCCTTACATTATAAAATATGACAAACAGCAGTAGTACATAGCATTATTAAAACAGCATAATAACAAAGAAAACAAAAGTAAATAAAATTAAAACATCAACAATCAAATAGGAATCAGTTGTACATTATTACAGTGAGTAATTACAGTGGGCAGTTCAGCCACCACTGCTGATTTATATCTGCTTCCAAACAGGTTTCATTTTTGCTGAATGTTTCCTTATCTCCTCGTGTCTTAGTGTCCGATCTGGACCATCACCGGGCAGTAAGATGTAATGACCGGTCCCTGCAGTACACAACTTTTGCATCTGAAAAATGTCCGTGTGTTGTCATTATTGACTTATTCATATCAGGGACTGACCTACATTATTGCATGACATCATGACACTGTAACCCCACCCCAGTCTCTCCTTTTCTCTCTCTCTCTAATGATTGCTGCATTTTACTCTTGCTCTCCTTCAGATATTGTTTGGAAAGAAATCCCAGTTGCTGTTCTTTTGCACTCAGTTTTAGCTGCTAGTTTGCATTAAGACTTAGATTTGTAAATGAACCCTTACAGATTTGAGTAACGTAATAATACCAGATCGCATGTGACTACTAATTGCAAACATGCTCTAGAGTGGTAGTGTGCAGGGTCTGGCTAATTACACTAAACTCCCAGCTATGTTTGGGGAAATAAGGACCAGATTCAGAGCATTTAAATGTAGAGTAAAGCTGTTCAGTGGTTTCAGTATCTGCTAGAGCCTCAGAGACTCACTTCTTCTTCTTTTCATTATTATTTTATTTCCTTTTACAAAGTAATTCCAGTGACCGTATTTGGGAAGGTGTAGGGTGCACAACACAGCGTATATCTTGTCTGGCACATTTAAACAAAATCAATTCATGCCGTAACAAAATGAATTATAAACTCAGTTTTACATGCTTGGCTTATTGCCATGTATTTATCAAGACACTATGCATTGCAGTGTCCCGCTGTGGCTGACACCCTCTGCAATTCCCTTGGCATCACATAGAAACTACCTCGCCATTTCAGCCTCATGCAACTCACTGTTTTTGTTAGGCCCTCGATTAATTATTATAATTTTTATAGTAAACTATTATTATTATACCTGGAGCCAAGTATAACATCATATTAAATTCCACCATATTGTATAAAATAAAAATAAAACCTGCACTAAGCAATGAGAGGCCTGATATTTATTTTAGGATTACTTTCGTGGAATGGAGGATTTATTACAATTTTGGTCTTATTTTTGTCCAACATTTTAGTTAGTTCTAACATTGTATTCATGAAAGTGATTGCTAAGATCTGGAACATGTCTCTACAATAACGTCAGAGAAACCAGATGATCATACATGTTGGAAACAATGCAACAATTTTTCTAGATGACAGATCACTTCATTTGGAGGTCAAACTGAAAATGAATAAAATGTTACTAATCATCCCTCACTGCTCGGGAAAAACTGTAATTTGTGAGGTAATTACAGGGGTAAGACATAGGAAAAAATGTATTTGATTATTTTTTTGGATTTATATAATCACATTCATATTTAATTCTTATCTTTTAAAATACTGAATATTTTTTATTATTAATATTTTTATAAACAATATATAAAAAATATTTGTATTTAAATAGATTGTATTTATAGATTTATATACTACTGCTCAAAACAGTTACAATAAAAACTAATAATTAAAACTAAAACAAATAAAAAAAATATTATTTTAAGAAAAAGCCATTAGATAAATGTGAGTTTTAAGAATGTTATGGGCCTCTTTTTTTAAACATTATTAGATAAGAAAGTGGCGTAAATATTAAACAGTATAATTTTTCTGAATCTTTAGACCCTGGAGACTCTGGACACAGGGAAGCCCTTCCTGCAGGCTTTCTTCATCGACCTGGAGGGCAGCATCAAAACCCTTCGTTACTACGCGGGCTGGGCTGACAAGATCCATGGCAAGAGTCTGCCTGTAGGTGAGTGTGTGTCATCTTCCTCTTACTTTCCTCTTAATTCAACACATGAAACCATCGTGGCCAACAGAGGTGTGAGAGATCCTGTGTGGCATTAATAAGGTCTGGACCCAGGGCCTGCCTTGACAATGTTGGAGCCTTAGGTGAGATTTGAAATTGGCGTCGCCCACATGCCTATTCCCAAAAACACCACCGCTGGGGTTGGGGTCATCACCCCCTCATTAACTGTGTGTAAACCCGGATACTGTTGCATTGTAATAAATTTATGGGGTAATTTTCCTGAAGCGGTAGAACCCTTCTATGTTTGTCTGTTTTAATTAGTATTATTAAAGGGGCATTATGGAGTTTTCAGCGGCCACTTGCAGTGCGGTTCTAAGATTGCAACCAGGTGTGTCCTCATACGCGTTCTCGCTTGAACTTATGAGTGAGCATAATCCGAAACTCAGGTAAACTCCCACTGCAACGTTACAGTAATAGTTTTATCAGCTGCAGGTTGAACTAATCCATGTTCGTTACATGATAACGTTACATTTACTGCATTTAGCCGACATGCTACATCGTTAGCTCGCCTGCTGCTTTTCAGTAACATTAACTATCTTTACTATCTGTGAATCTATCTCCGGAGGCTCAGCAATGTCAGCACAGCTACATGTACTGGATGATAATGAAACAGTTAGTAAGCTGGACTGAATATTATAATGCGATTGTGTCACACTTTATAACAGTTAGACCGCAGTAAGTAACTTTACGGTAACTAGTGATAATGGATGGCTCTTCCTCTGGGTTGTTGTTGTTGTTATGTTGCAATGTTTTATGTTATGTGGATCACGTTAGTTACAGCGACTGAGGTGGAGAAGCTGTGTACCTAAGTAACGTTATTGGTAAAACCCATAGACTGTATATAAAAACCACAATAAACTGAACGTTACGAAGCAAACAGCGGCAGGTCCGAGCTACTGTAGCCTTAGCTGGCTGCTCCTGGCTGCATCACTGTAGGCTAACATCAGTAAACAAATTTGCTTTTTACCGTTACATCCTCTCTGCAGTCTAAATCAACAGTGGTACACAGGATAGTAACATGGGTCGCATTAGTTGGTGAAGTAATATGGAAAGCTAACGTTAATATACGTAACTTTGCACCAGCTAACATAAGCAACTGCTTGGCGTTAGCCTGCGAGCTAACGTGACTTTCTGTGTTTCTCCAGCTTTACTAATGCTCACTTTGTTCTTACTCTACATCATCTGAACCTGTTTGGTCTCATGGGCTTCAGCACATAAACCTTTATTGTTGTTTTGTATCCTTGCATGGAGCCGGTTGTTTTATGGTGTTAGTGGACTGCATGTCGTTAGCTGCCGTGTTGTCGCTGTAGTGTGAGAGCCTCGGGAGCGCGCACAGGGCTGAATCCAACCCGGTGTCCTCACATGAAAAGCGGAATAGTGGCTGATGAAAGCAACGGAGAAAACAGGCGTGTGCTTCATTTCTAAGTGAGTTTTGAGCCAATTGATAATAAGGCAATGAAAATTTGATTAATTTTATTGAAAAACTTACATATAGTCCCTTTTAAGTCACTAGTGCAAAAAAAAGGTTTGAACCCGCGAATGGCCGCTTGCTCTGCTGTGCCGTTTGTCCCATAAACTTCATTCCAACTTCAAAATGTACATCCTGTTCAGGAGATTTATGCTATTACCTGTGTTGCTAATATCTGTAATGCTTGATTTTATATTAATATTTTTATGTGAAAAAAATTAATGAGGCTCAACTTTCTTCCACCTTTAAGAGCTAAATGCTCCGGCATGTGTGCAGCTACAGACACCATTTGAGCTGTAAGTTGCAGAAAAGATGTTGATCTTTCAAAGTTGTATTTGATGTTTGCTATAAAAATGTTTAGTTTAGGAGGTATGTCCTTCCAAAGTGAAGGGTTTTACAGCTTTTAGCAGACTTTAGAGTGTGTCATGTGATCATGTTAGAGGGTGGAGAGGAGGATCTGGCAGACCAGAATAGTTTTTTAAACTGCTGCGTATATTTCTCTCCATAAGCACAAAAAAGGCGGCAAAATGTAGTCACATACCTTTTCTCCCTCAAAATGTCAAAATCCTGCTCAGTGGATGTTTAGTGTTTTTATCTCTGATCCTTAATTGATTGGAAACTCTGTCGTCTCTCATTCACTCCCTGTTGTAGCTGCAGCCTGAGGTCTCCCCCTGTCACTAATTCTTTAACTTGCTGTATCTTCCTCCCTGTTTGGAGTTTGGACACAAGATGTATATTTTTATGCTCAGCTACTCAAGCACTAACTAAGAAGTCGAAAATGATAGTTAAAAAGTTTTTTTTAAGCAAATACACTTTTTGTATCAACAATGGATGAAATTGTGTCACTACCAGCAAGTTGGCTAGTGGTGCAGTTAGTTAGACTTCAGTCACTAGATTGGTACTTCTTATTCCAGTCGTGAGTTTGAATCCCGCAAATGGCAGCAGTTGTAATTGCTTTCAACTTTAAACACCTGTATGGTGTTTGAACTTGATGATAACAAACTAAAGATCTCTCCTAACTTAAAACACCAAAGTCATAGCTGAAAAGCTTTTTTTTAAGTAATTGCACATTTCCATCAACAAATGATCAAATTGTGGCCTCTTCAGATCTCTCCCTGTATAGCTTGCTTGATTAAAATGCTGGTTTCCCAAGCCGCTCTTTTCATTCAGACCCAGGCTTGAATCCCACCTCCAGCAGCAGTGACAATTGCTTTCAACTTCAAACACCTGTGTGAGTTCAATTCCCATTGACTTGCAGTGGTCGTTTTTAAATGTGTATATTGTTAGTCTTTTTAAATGAAGAAATGGTATACGTGGCATAAGTTTTTTATATAAGATTATTCACTTTCTGTGTGTTGGACCGACTTCAGATTTTCCCTGTCTAGTGAGTTTTCGAGAAACAGCGTGCCCGTGGCGTCCAAAATCGATGTTTCGCCATGAAAGAGGAAGTTGCTTTAACTTCAGTGTACATGCTCACATTTGCACCAAACTTTACGTGCTTGATAACTGTCCCACCCCGAACACATCTACATGTTCATTTATAGTTGTAGTGCGAAGTGCTATGTAACGGCAAAAAGGGGACACAGGAAGTGATGATTAACATGTTTGTGCAGCGTCCAAAGTGTGTGGAAAATTCAAAGCTTTAAATTTCTTTCTTTCTTTCTTTCTTTTTTCTGCAAAGTAACCTCAATTTTGGGAGCCTAAACATGCTCGAAAACTCACCAAACTTTGCACAAAATTCAGGAGTGGTGAAAAATTTCGTATTTTATGGGTTTTGTGCCCCCCTACAGAGCAGCCCCCGGACTAAGTTTCACCTATGTGTGCGAAATTTCTGTGGTACGTGTTTCATGTCCAGACGTACAAAAAAGCCTCTTGGAGCCATTGCCTAAACCCAACAAGAAAGTCAGACATTTTGGATTTAATGGTCATTTTTGGCGATTTACACTCTTTAATTTAACGAACTCCTAGGGATTCCCAGGGAATTAGTCCAGTCGACTTCAGATTTTCTCTGTGCAATCTAAATTGACAATAAAAAGTTTTTACCAGTAATAACGGTTATTACCAGTCGACCAGTTTGCCCCCTTTCAAAAATCGATGATTCACCATGAAAGAGGAAATTGTTGTATCATGCTCACATCTGCACCAGATGTCCACCAACAGTCATGCCCCGAACAAATCTACATGCCAATATTCAGTACGATATTCAGTCGTAGCGTCACTAAGGCGACACAGGACATGATTATTAACACCTTTGTGCAGCGTCACACCACCCATAGTCAACCACTTATCCTGCGTACAGGGTCGCAGGGGGGCTGGAGCCAATCCCAACTGACATCGGGCAATAGGTGAGGTACACCCTGGACAGGTCGCCAGTCCATCGCAGGGTCACACATAGACAGACAACCACTCATGCTCACACCTAGGGACAATTTAGAGACACCAATTAACCTAGTCCGCATGTCTTTGGATTGTGGGAGGAAGCCGGAGCACCGGGAGATAACCCACGCAGATACGGGGAGAACATGCAAACTCCACAGTTTGCACTGTTGCCCCGGGATTTGAATCCGCAACCTTCTTGCTGTGAGGCGACAGCGCTAACCGCTGCCCACACCAATTAATTTTAATTTAGTTCTAAACTCCTGTAGTTCCTGTGTTTCAGCAGGTTTTCTCCTCATGTTCAAAACGTTCTGCACATTCAGAATCTCTGTGTTCTCTGACGATGATGTCCAGTGCTGTGATGTGCTGTACATTTTGTAATTGCTTGAAGGACTGAAATGCACACAAAATAGTTTCTGTTGCACAAGAGAGCCTACTGGGGATCAGGCGAGTTTTCTTTATTGCTGTTCCACCAATTTGACAATAATGTGAGAGCATGCATAAGCCGTTTGTAGTAGTTGAAAGCATAATATCAGGCAGGGTTTCAGGTTTCTACATGGTACACTGAATGGGAACGACATGCAACATGGACAAACAACAATCCAGCAAGAACCGAACAGAAAAGGGGCCAACAAATACAGATACAGCATGGAGGGTGCATTACAGGTGACACACATTAGGGATAATTAGGACAAAACAGGAAACAAAGCTAAACACGGACACAAGACACAGACAACTTCAACCCCAAAACAGTAAGTGGAAAGAACTTATACCAAAACACACAGAACAAAACCTGACACAAAACCAGTGTGCAATGGCTTAAAGCCTCATGTGTTTGCAAGTTTACAAAAATCTAAATCATCTCAAATGATTTTCCTTGGTCCTCTAAGTTATTAGTTATTACCTTTGGTAAGATGTCTTCTCATCATGTAATGTTTTTTTTGTTTTAATTTTTAATTTTTAATTTTAATTTTTGAATTGTGACCATTAAAATGGTTGTCATTTCCAAAACAGTACTATTACCTTTACTAACATATATACCACAGCTATGTTAATACTGGCCTGTAATACTAGTTATATACCTGTAACACATATAATATATTGATCCTGAAAGTTCAGTTTTGACCTTGGATACAATTGTTGAATTTAAAAAATAATGATTTCAGGTCCACTCGCAAACTTTTTCTGTAGGTTTCACATCCCAGTCTTTTCTCGTTATGGAACTTAATTTATTTTATGTTATGATGGTTGAACTGTTGAACTGAAACTATCTAAACAATTTTCTTGTGCCAACATCCCTTGGCCTCAGTTTACCTTGATTTTTATGGTACCTTAAAGCAATAACAAAACAAATTTATTGTGGAAAAAAAGAAAAACTTCCACCTAGAGTAAAGTGGATCAAACTGATTGTGCTCTTTCTGTTTATTACAGATGAAAGTTTTGTGTGTTTAACCAAACACGAGCCCATTGGCGTATGTGGAGCCATCATTCCAGTAAGTCCAGACCAGATCTGGTTTGAATTTATGAGCAATAATGTGTAATAGGAATTACGGTTCATATTACTTTGGCTTGGTGTGCACAATATTTTATTGATATATATATATATATATATATATATATATATACACATATATACATATATACACACACACATACACACACACACACACACGCACACACACACACACACACACTATAAGTTCTCAATAAAATATTGTGCAATTGTGCACACCAAGCCAACACACTGTTGTGATGCCAGCTTCTGAATATGTGTTGTGGTAAATGGCTCTGCTTTAGTATTTTGGGAAAAACATAATGTGTCAGAGAATATCAGTATCATCTCTGTGGCTAAGTACAGAGATACATCCAAACCCCCAGTGAGCAGAGCTGGGCTGTGTACACAGTACACACTACACACAGGTCTGAGCTCTGTCCTAACTAGTTTTGGAGTTGCTGGAAGGTGTACTTTTTTATGTTGGTCGTACCGCAACCTTGTAGGAAGGAGGTCGTGTTGGTGGATTGATTTACTTGATTTGTCAAGACAGTACGGTCCTGTCAACGGTTCTACTGGCATATCAGTCTTCTCATCTGACTGCATGGACATAACTGTTCCCCAAAATGTCACAGTGTTACTTTAACACAGTAGTGGTCTTACACTTAAGCAGGTTACAGTGTTTAGTGAAATGCACTATCATTTATACTGCCAACATCTCTGGCTTTCTTGGATCCATATTCAGGCTTAATTGGAAGCACTAAGACTGAAATTAAATTGTGTAGTGCTAGTAAGTCAGCTGCACTCAATTTAAATGCACTGTCAGATTGTAAGGATGAAATTAAATTCTTAAATGTTTGCACTCCCTATAAAGCCCTTTGCTCTTGCAGTATAGTTATTAGTTTTGATAATAACTTCATCATTTTTGAATGAAGGGTGGGGAAATGTTTGGTGTTTCACCGTATTGTGTTGCACTTGAATAGAATTTCAGCATTCTGACAGAATACAGACATTCAGTTTTCTAACTTTGAGCGTAAGCCTATAACCTCTAATGTTGCTTTGGCAACAAAAGAACAAAACAGCTATTGTTTGACATGGGAGATTATATCATAAAGGTGAAAATTTATACTGAAGGACGTTGTGTAATTACTGGAAGTGCTGCTGGCGTGCACAAAGCATGAGTCATTGTCAGAGGACAACAGGAAACCTTTCTCCTGACTTGTGATTCCAAGATCCTTTTATGGCGCTGAGTGTAGCCAATGAGTTGTAAAAGTTAACAATGCTTAAACAACAAACATGCACCACTCGCATATATTGCTGTCTAAATTGGGTTTGAGTGCCCAATTATTTGTTCATTGGTTTCCAACTTGGAAAAGAGCAACTGGAAAATAAATGACCTTTTTCTGAATGTGTTTACTTTGAATATTCTCTAGTCCTAATGACTTAGAGCTCTTAGGAGTTAACTAGGGAAATCAAAGTTCTGATAATGTGTGTGCTGCTTGGATTGTTTCCATTGGAGACTGTTGCAGTGATAATTACAATTGAATTAAAGAAGTAAACCATGGTTTACATCAAAAACTTTAAGTATCAACAAAGCATGAAAAACAGAGTACTTCTGTTTCCATTCCTGGACATTTGCAGGCTGCAGCAAATGCGGCAAACTTTGGCTTAGCTTCAGTAAAAAAAAAAAAAGAGAGAACGACACAGCAAAATGCAACACCTGCAGTAAGGAGGTTTGGTGCGAGGATGGAAGCAGCACCAACATGACAAAGCATTTACTTAAAATCGGCGTGAATCTGAAGGAACAAACCGTGCTCCATGCGTTGCTTTCTCCCAGCTACAAAGACACCCCAGATACAGCTAACGATAACAGCAGCAACATCTCATGCTCAGGTACAAAACACAGGTTAGCTGACCGTCACCTTGTATATTGAAGGGAAATGAACGATGTCTACAAATGATTCCAATATATATTTCTCTCAGATACGAGTCCCCAGAGACGCCCCTCTAATACAGACACTCCTTTCATTTTAGCCATGAAGGGGAGGTAAGAAAGGAAAAAGAGGATGAAGGTCACTGAGCAGTGACAAGATCTGTGGTGAAGGGTCTGGAACCATAACCGAGATTTGATAAGTAGAAGAATCAGAATTGATAAAATTGAAACGATAGCCAACCCTAAAAGAGAAAAGTGAGATGCAATAATTGTTCAAATGGGAATAATGGCACACACTGTCAGAAAGTCTCTCCTCGTACAAATCCATGGTGTTGCAGTGTTGCAACGTAACAGAAGGATTTGTGTGGAGAATGAAAAAGGAGTTTGACAGAAAACTTTTAACCCTGCAAACTGTCACATCCACACACCTGGCCATGCTGCCTGAAGTAGGTTAAATGTCATATTGTCGGTGTCGGAAAGTTACAAAGTTGTCGGAGGCAGCCACCACAACTTTGACATTGGAAAGGTGTGATGGGAGGACCTGAGAGAATGTTCGAAGCACCGATCTTTCAATTAATAAGCAACCCGCTCTACCTCCTGAGCCACAGCCGCAAGGGTGTCAAGCAGGAACACGGGGGCAGCAGGTGACTCGCAACCACAGATCCAGACTCCACAGCTCCAGAGCCAGAAACACCTGCAGGAAGTGATAGGAGGAGAGAGGAGAGGGACGAGAAAGCACAAGACTACCAGAAAGGGGAGAAGTTGTGTTAGTAACATGCAATAATGGGATAAGGTTGCATACAGAGGGAGAGAAAGTAGAGGAGAGAGGAGCTCAGTGCATCATGGGAAATCCCCCGGCAGTCTAGGCCTATAGCAGCATAACTAAGGGATGGTTCAGGACTCACCTGAGCCAGCCCTAACTATAAGCTTTATCAAAGAGGAAAGTCTTAAGCCTACTCTTAAATGTGGAGATGGTGTCTGCCTCCTGAACCCAAACTGGAACCTGGTTCCACAGGAGAGGAGCTTGATAGCTGAACGCTCTGGCTCCTAGTCTACTTTTGGAGACTCTAGGAACCACAAGTAACCCTGCATTCTGGGAGCGCAGTGCTCTGGTGGGGTAGGAAGGTACTATGAGCTCTTTAAGATAAGATGGTGCCTGACCATTAAGAGCTTTTGCCTTCAGAACTGTCTTAATTCTTCGGGGCATACAACAAGGTGTTGGAAACATACCTCTGACTTAGGTCCATATTGACATGATAGTATCACGCAGTTTCTGCAGATTTGTCGGTTGCACATACACGATGCAAATCTCCCGTTCCACCACATCCCAAAGTTACTTTATTGGATTGAGATCTGGTGACTGTGGAGGCAATCGGAGTGCAGTGAAATCATTGTCATGTTCAAGAAGCCAGTTTGAGATGATTTGCGCTTTGTGACATGGTGCATTATCCTGCTGGAAGTAGCCCTCAGAAGACGGGTACACTGTGGTCATAAAGGGATGGACATGGTCAGCAACAATACTCAGTTAGGCTGTTGCATTTTAACAATGTTCAATTGGTACTAAGGGTCCCAAAGTGTACCAAGAATATCCCCCCTTTACACCACCACCAGCATGAACCGTTAATACAAGGCAGGATGGAACCATGCATTCATGTTGTTTACGTCAAATTCTGTTCCCTGCCATCTGCAGCTCAGACTCAGACCAGGCAATGTATTTACAATCTTCTATTGTCCAGTTTTGGTGAGCCTGTGCAAATTGTAGCCTCAGTTTCCTGTTCTTAGCGGAGTGGCACCTGGTGTGGTCTTCTGTTGCTGTAGCTGCTTCAAGGTTCGACGTGTTGTGTGTTCAGAGATGGTATTCTGCATAGCTTGGTTGTAATGAGTGGTTATTTGAGTTACTGTTGCCTTTCTGTCATCTCGAACCAGTCTGCCCATTCTTCTGTCCTCTGACATCAACAAGGCATTTTGCATCAGCAGTGCGCAGTGCTGTTACAAGGTGTGGTGGTAGCACTGCAAAATATATAACAACCAACTTAGTCAAGCAACTCCAGAAGAATCATGCTAAAGAACACTATTCCCAGTCTCTTTCTCACAGTGAGGAATACAGCTTATTTATTTTACACTAGCATCATATCGGTCGGTACTTGGCATCGGTATCTGGACCGAAAAAATAAGATCATAGCATCCCTAGCTTTAGTTAAAAGCAACATACAGTATTATGGTATATAAAATGACTTCATAAATAACTTCTGATTAGGCTGATTAGCCTGATAGAGGGAGGTTATTTCAGTTGGATTGTAGTCTAACTGTGTTGTTTGTGACTTGTGCAGTTACACATTGAAAGCAGTCAGCTAACATGTTCTTTTGTCTGTGCTAGTGGAACTTTCCTCTGCTGATGTTCATGTGGAAGATAGCGCCGGCCCTGAGCTGTGGAAACACTGTGGTCATCAAGCCTGCAGAGCAAACCCCCCTTACGGCCCTCCACGTTGGATCACTTATCAATGAGGTCTGATATTAGGCTCAACATGTACAGCAGGATTGATCCTAGCTGTGGGCTGTGAGAGGTTTTACACTTAGTCTTCTTGAACACAGTCTGGTCCTGTATTCTTATAAAAGTCCTGCTGATTAGACTGCTCTGCTCCTATTATGTTCTGGTGACTGTTCCGAGCACAGGAGACAATTGACAACAAAATTAGCTGTGGATTTTTAAGTGTGGTTCAGAGACTCACAGAGGTCCTTGTCCTTAACTAGATATTTAATAAATATTTAATGTTGAAATTGTAGGTTTCACTGGCACTGTGATTTGCAAATAACTTCAGAAGAAAAGACCTTATCTGATAACATACTAAGGAGTACACTAACACACTTAAGAAACTCAACAGCAGCATTCCTTCCATATGGACAAAGACTTTGCACAACAAGTGTACATTTTATTTACTTTTTTTTAATCCATCATTGTAAAATTTGTTATGCACATTTAGTCTTATGGGTTTCAGGAGTCCAATCTATTGCACTGACAATGCTGCAAAGTCTCATCAAAAAGAACCAAGCCAGTTATACACCTGTATTTTATGAACTGCTAGTTAAGTGCAAGTTATATTTCCTGTCAATTGTATTTGCTTACATCAACATTTTTTGAAATGCTGTTTCAATTTGTTACTTTTCATACTACATTATATTTCTACTCCACTACTATATTTTATATATTTCACTAAATTTATCTGACAGCTTAATTAGTTAGTAGTTTGCATGAAAAACATATGAAGAGCTTATAAAATATGATGCTTGGTTATGGATGAAACTGAACAGTTGAAGCAAGTAGAGCTGAAAGATTGGTCAATTACAGACAGAAAATGGCTTATTTTGATTGGACAAAACAAAGCACTGAAAGTGTTACTTTGGGTAGTTGTGATAGCATTTCTTATTAATTCCTACATTTTTACAAATTGATCAAAGAATATAATCAGGAGCTTAATCCATAATGAAGATAATCTTTAGCTGCAGCCTTATATATAGCCTAAATAGTTTAAAAGTAGCTGCACCTCAACCATCTACAATAGTAAAATGCTGATTTTACATTAATGCTTAAGTAATACTAATACTAAAGATCTAAATATAATAGTAAAACACTAACAGGGGCAATCTTTCTGCACAGAGCACTTTTAATGCTTTGAGCACATTTACCTAATTATACTTTTACTTTAAAAGTTTCAGTTGTAGAATGTTAACTCCCCGTATACATCCCTGAAATTCACCAAAAAATACAGAGGGCATGACCTCCGTGCCCTCAGAGTAGTTACAGTCTGTCACGATTTAGATGAGTGCAAAGCAGGAGAGAGCCCAAACACAACGCACAAGAGAGCAGAGATACAGCGGGAGCAACACAGGTGAGAGGGATCAGACAAATGAGACAGACATGCATGCAGAGTGAACAACAGGGGAAAACAGAGAGACAGGCAGGCAGAGGGATTACTGGGGTAACAGACATAACACAGGTTACTAACACAGACAATATCAAAATAAGACGGAACAGATCAGAAATATATAAATAATAAACTAATCCAGAAACAAGCATACCGTTTACAAGTAAACTACGACCAACAGGGATAACAGACCGAAACTAGGATTAAACAGAACACACAGCAGACAAAGACTAAATGATGCAAACACCGAACTAGGAGTAAATACAAATATACATACAAATTAACTAAGACACAGAGCTAAAATGCAGGGCTAAACCTAACATACAAGACAGACAGGTACTGTGTGAGCTAAACAGAACATGCAAATGAACAATCAAATAAACAAGGCTAAACAGAGAAGACACAAGACAAGGAACAAAACCCCAAAACAGAAAACATGGACCAACTGCTAAACAGAACAGGGTAAGGAACAGAGACAGGACCAACCAGGAAACAGGACAACACTAAACATGGAACAGTTCAGAAATAAGGAAAACACCAAAACACCACTAAACACCAGCTGACAGATCATAACCAGATAAACAATAACATCAGGTAGAGGAAGCACATTAAGGCAGCAAGCAAACTATAAACTAAATCTAAACTAAACAGAAAAGCAACAGGGAGTCAAGGCAAGGCAAAACAAACAGGGACCGAACTAATAACACAGAGTGGATAAAGTAGACAAGATAACAGAACACCACAGACAAACTCCTCAACAGACTAAGATAAATGAACACAACAGATTAACACATAATGATCATAACCAAACAAATCAAGCAGACTGGACACAGGACAACAGACAGGACTGAAACCCAAAACACAGACTAAATAACAGATACCGAACTGGACAATAAACAAAACTCACAGAGAACTAAACTAGACAGAGCAGACAGGCAGAATGTGACACAGTCTGTGTCATTTATTGATACAGAGTAATACTAAAATAGAAATATAATGTGTGACATTATTTAGACATAGGAACTGTGAAACAGTAACAGATCATGTCATGCCATCACCCAGACCTACCCTGAACTAGGCAAATGGGGAGATAGATGACCAACGCTCTAAATCCTTAACAAAGGCTTACATGGCTTCACAGGCTGTTATGGGGTCAAATGCCTTTTGACTCCATATGCTGGGCCTTTTGTTGTTCCCCAGGGTATCACATCACTGGGGATTCCCCACACTAACATGTCTGGGTTGCCATCTCAGGCAGGTTTCCCTCCTGGAGTTGTGAACATCGTTCCAGGGTTTGGTCTCACGGCTGGAGCAGCCATTGCCAGCCACATGGACATCAACAAGGTGGCCTTCACTGGTTCTACAGAGGTATGTGAGTGTATGACTGTGCACTTCTGCTGCATAACTGTCATTTTGACAAATGAAGGAAAGATAAATACTCTCTGATACATTGGTTTTGATATAGAATCTAGCAGCTGAGTGATAGAATGCTGCTTTCAACGAGACCAGACGATTTCTTTGTTTCACTTAGAGTCCTAATGTAGTGGTGACACTGGCCATTTCTAAAACTAAAGCAGTGCAGGTGTTTGTATAGTAAGAAAATACAGATGCAATTTTTGGCTTCTACTACTGTATGTGATCAAACTATTCAAAGTTAATTAACTTGGTGAGTTATAGCTTAAACTAACTGGGAAGCATAACATTATTTTCACTGTTAATAAACATTACAAGAAGTGTCCATTGTCCTAATACTGATACTAGTGGCACTGATACTCCATTGCTTTGTGAATGAAGCTGTACATGATATATGTACATATAACATAGTGTCTCTATTTGACCACTCAGCCCTGCAAACTCTGCCTTGATAGTTTGTGAACCACCAGAAAGTACAAGCACTAGCAGACACTATTTTATACCTGGAGCTTTTATACAGGAACTGAATTTAGTCCCTGATTCCTCCAGCTGAAACGGTGGTACAGTTCTAACTGTTGCATGCAAAGTTCAATCAAAACTACACTTAATACCCCATGTTAGATTACCATAATGGTTGCTTTATAGAGTTGTAAGTTGTTCAGTTTTATAACGCAGAAATCTGAATTGCCACCATGTCATTAACTGTTAACACAGTGATGTAGATAAAGTGTATTTTGTATAAATACACTGCAAAATGCAATTCTTGAAATAAGGGGAAAAATCAAGTTCAAGAAAGATTTCATCATATGAAATGAAGTTGCTTTAAAATAGACTTTCCTAAAAGTTGTTGGCCATAGTCTTACATCAAGAAGAACCTAGCTCATCGTCAACTTCAGATTATTAACAATCATGTCTGAAGACTCTCTTTTTGGTCTAGGTTATATGTAAAGGAGTTTTTTATTTTTTCAGTATTACCCATGATACATTAAGGTATGACTCATCATTGCTGTGTTTCGCCCTCTGGGCAGGTCGGCCAGCTGATTAAAGAAGCGGCAGCCAAAAGTAACCTGAAAAGAGTTACTCTGGAGCTGGGAGGGAAGAACCCCTGCATTGTGTTTGCTGACTGTGACTGTAAGTAAACATGCTCTTTGTCGCTCTCTCTCAAAGTCTCACTATAACCAATCCGCTTAGCTTGTGTGTGTGTTCAGGTGAACAGACAGACAGATAGACAGACAGAGAGACATGTGAACAGACAGACAGTCAGATGAACAGACAGAGAGACAGGTGAACAGACAGACAGACAGACAGACAGACAGACAGACAGACAGACAGACAGAGACAGACAGACAGGTGAACAGAAAGGCAGTGACAGACAGGTGAACATACAGACAGACAGACAGACAGAGACAGACAGACAGTGACAGACACATGAACAGATAGACAGAGACAGACAGGTGAACAGACAGACAGGTGAACAGACAAACAGAGACAGACAGGTGAACAGACAGACAGAGACAGACAGGTGAACAGACAGACAGACAGAGACAGACAGGTGAACAGACAGACAGGTGAACAGACAGACAGAGACAGACGGGTGAACAGACAAACAGAGACAGACAGGTGAACAGACAGACAGGTGAACAGACAAACAGAGACAGACAGGTGAACAGACAGACAGAGACAGACAGGTGAACAGACAGACAGGTGAACAGACAGACAGAGACAGACGGGTGAACAGACAAACAGAGACAGACAGGTGAACAGACAGACAGGTGAAAAGACAGACAGAGACAGACAGGTGAACAGACAGACAGAGACAGACGGGTGAACAGACAGTTCGCCAGTCCATCGCAGATTATTATTATTGTTATTATTATTATTATTATTATTATTATTATTATTATAACACTAGCATGTCAACATATACACATAACACCACATAGCCCTAATGTCCAAACCAACTATATATTCCTTGATTTTGGGTGACCTGTTGGTCAGTAATAAATCACTGCCCAAATCTCAGAGATCTAACTGACAGCTATTTACCCAGTTGAAAAAAATGAGCCAATCAGAGATTTGAATGTGACATCATCTTCCTGTCAGAACAAGGAATAAAGCTGCAGAAATATTGGCCACAAGGCTGTCTTAAATCCTGGCTGCAGCCTTGGTTAAGTTACAATGATATGACTAATCAAGGTTTGTTATACAGTAGTTAAGACAACTAGGGCGGCAGCTAACGATGATTTTAGTATTCAAAGCTTCTATAGATTATTTCAACGATTCATCGATGCGTCATTTAAGAAGTACTTTTACTTGACTGATCGGTGACCAGGGGGTCACACACACTACAGGAGCTGACAACACCTATGGCACCCGAACCTGGTTTCCAAACCACTTTTATCAAAAAAACACATGTGAAATGTGAAACGGGAAATGAGCGATCCTGCACACGAACCAGCTGTTGTTTGTTATTATAAAGATGGCAATTATAAAGACAAAGAATCTTGGTGAAAGGATGGATTAGCACACGCAGGTAGCAGGGATTGTCTGAGCTACAGAGAGAGCTGCAGGGGAGTTATAAGGTGCAGCTCCCCGACACCCAGTTAACTCCTGACTGTGAGGTTACAACTCACGGCCCAAAAGGAGAACAACAAACGCACGTGGTCACATTATCAGCTGAGGTCTGCAGCTTACTTTGGCTTCAACTCAACAATCAATCATGATTTCAGTTAAATGCTAACGTTGCTGTTACTGTTACCTTGTCTGTGGTCCGCTGGCAGAACACCGGCTGCTTTCTGATAAGGCGCCGTCGTGCTGTTGCCGAGGCGACAAAAGTTTCGTTTTACGGTGGACGGACGGTAACATTACAGAGTTGTTGTTTTCTTTAGCTTGAAATAATATCATACTTAATAATAATACCATACTAGCATTTTATGAATCGATTTTATCGATTTAATTGTGAGTCGTTTCAGCCCTAAAGACAACTATACCCAACTACAGGTAGTGAATGTAGGAATGACAAAGAATAACAATGTATGCAAAATGTAAATTAGCCACCATGTTTGCGTCTTTTAATGTAATACCAGATAATGTGTCTCTCTGTTTCACTGCAAAGTGAAGTGAGTCACCAAATATACTGTGGCGATCGTTGTACCTGGGCGGTCTACCCAAGTAAAGTCTGTCTGGGAAACACATTTTTATACTTAAAGGTAGCCCATTACAAATTGTGAGATTTGGGTCATCTTCACTCACAGTGAAGAACTTTGGCGCATGTGTGTGTGTGGCTGTGACAATAGTCTATTTCTGTGCCATTGAGCGCGTGACATGAACCATCATGCAGTATGTGTGTAAATTTGACTGCTGTTCTGTTGATTTATGCCACCTAGCAAAATGTGCACGTAACCCACAATCTTGGTCTCTCTCAATGCCCATAAATCTATGCAACCTTGCTGTCGGGCATGCTGCAGAGACTGTGGCTTTTATTGTGTCTTTTGACCTGTAAATTTTCTTTAAACAAAGGTAAATGAGCTAGCTCGTTGTGTGTACTTTCGACAAGGCAGAATAAATTGTCAGAACACCACCACTGAATCCTATATGACTTTGATCAGCCTCAATAAACGGTCATGGCCTATCAAGCAGGAGTTTGTCCGATCCCAGCCGCCAACTGATCGATCTGTGCATCTCTACACTGAACATCCCAGACTGATGAAACATAGTAGTAGGAGTAGAGAAGGTGTCATTTTCTCCTGGGCAAAAAAATAAATTAAATGTTAACGTTGTTTCTTGTTTATTGCACTTGTCCATTTTGTGTGTGTGTGTGTGTGTGTGTGTCTACAGTGCAGCTGGCTGTGGAGGAAACCCAGAAGGGAGCTTTTTATAACCAGGGTCAGTGCTGCACGGCTGCATCTCGTGTATTTGTGGAGAAAAGTATTTATGAAGAGTTTGTGCGTCGCAGCATAGAAAATGCCAAGAGGATCGTCACAGGAGACCCATTGGACCCCCAGACATCACACGGGCCACAGGTAAGAACACCCAGTTAAGGTCATATTATTTTGAAGTACCGTATTAGAAAAGGTTTTCGAAAATTTCACGAAAACATTTTTGGCAACTGCCAATAAACCTCAGAGTTGGCAAACAACTGGTTTTGCTTTCACTCTGCTTCTTCTACTCTGTTTATTATAGCCATCCGTAATGTAGCCTATACCAACCAACATTTGATAAAAGTAAGCTGTAGCCCAGTTTGTTTGTTGAAAACCAGATGATGGAAACACACCTAATTTGTAGGGCTGGCCCGAATGTCATTTTTTGAGCTTCAATGCTTCAATACTAATTAAGAGCGAATAATCGAAGACCCCCCGCGGTGGCGCTCAGCGGTCCCGTCATGGTGATTCTTTACACATGTGTTTTTTCACGAGCTACAGCTATGTATTTAATGGATAGAAGTAGAACAGCAGAAGAAGGATAAATGCCCGCTAAGTTGCTGAGACTTCAGAGTGAGAGAGTCTGATCCGAGCAGGTCCAGAGCAGTCCAAGCGGAGAGCACACAGGATGAGCGGTGTTTCCGGTAGCGGAACTAAATCTAACACGTTATTATGCAAAATTCACTTTTAATTTTAATTATAGCGACAAAATGCTCTTCTTCTACAATCGGCCTAATACAATTAAATGAAATAAACAATTGAAATATATCAGTCTGTGTGTAATGAATGAAAATAATATCCAAGTTTCACTTTTTGAATGGAATTACTGAAATAAATCAACTTTTTGATGATATTCTAATTATATGACCAGCACCTGTATAATTAGGCTTATTTAAATGCGTTCATTGTGTTGCTGTTTGTTTCCAGCCTACAGTTTGCTACTGATTCATTTTAAAATATAGGAAATTAAGCAATTGTAAAATTAAACACCATAACTTCCACACTACTGCTGACATCACTCAGTTTAAAGTGCTCCCACACAGCTGAGGGCTTCATTTGTTTTCCATTTGATGTGAACTGGAACGTTACGTTCACTGCTGTCGGCGGAGGTCAGGGGTGCGGAAAAAACCTCAATAATCGAATATCATAATTGAAAATCGAATGTGTACCCAACGGTTGAATATTCGTGTCCAGCCCTACTAATTTGCATTTAATTAATTCAATTCAATTCAATTCAATTTTATTTATATAGCGCCAAATCACAACAACAGTTATCTCACAGCGCTTTTCATAAAAGAGCAGGTCTAGACCGTACTCTGTGATGTTATTTACAGAAGCCCAACAGTTCCCACCAAGAGCAAGCACTAGGCGACAGAGGCAAGGAAAAACTTCCTTTTAAGAGGCAGAAACCTCGAGCAGAACCATGGCTCAGGGTGGGCGGCCATCTGCCTCGACCGGTTGGGGTGAGAGAGAGAGAGGGGGGAGGCAGCCTACACAATATACACACAGAGGTACAGACAGTGAAGGTAATGTTGCTATAGACTAAATGAAAAATGGTACAGATATTTATAATAGTGTTAATGGTAACCATCGTAATGTTAATGATTATAATAACAATAATAACAATAAGACTAGCAACAATAGTCGTTGCAGTAGAGGTTGTCGAGCAGGAACACAGGGGCAGCAGGTGACCCGCAGCCACAGCTCCAGACTCCACAGCTCCAGAGCCAGAAAACCTGCAGGAAGTGATAGGAGAGAGGAGAGAGACGAGAAAGCACAAGACTACCAGAAAGGGGAGAAGTTGTGTTAGTAACATGCAATAATGGGATAAGATTGCATACAGAGGGAGAGAAAGTAGAGGAGAGAGGAGCTCAGTGCATCATGGGAAATCCCCCGGCAGTCTAGGCCTATAGCAGCATAACTAAGGGATGGTTCAGGACTACCTGAGCCAGCCCTAACTATAAGCTTTATCAAAGAGGAAAGTCTTAAGCCTACTCTTAAATGTGGAGATGGTGTCTGCCTCCTGAACCCAAACTGGAACCTGGTTCCACAGGAGAGGAGCTTGATAGCTGAACGCTCTGGCTCCTAGTCTACTTTTGGAGACTCTAGGAACCACAAGTAACCCTGCATTTTGGGAGCGCAGTGCTCTGGTGGGGTAGTAAGGTCCTATGAGCTCTTTAAGATAAGATGGTGCCTGACCATTAAGAGCTTTGTAGGTAAGAAGAATGATTTTAAATTCTATTCTGGATTTTACTGGAAGCCAATGCAAAGAAGCTAAAACAGGAGAAATGTGATCTCTTTTCCTGGTTCCTGTCAGAACACGTGCTGCAGCATTCTGGATCAGCTGAAGAGTCTTAATGGACTTTTTCGAGCAGCCTGATAATAAGGAATTGCAGTAATCCAGCCTAGAAGTAACAAATGCATGGACTAGTTTTTCTGCATCATTTTTAGACAGGATGTTCCTGATTTTCGCAATATTACGTAGGTGAAAAAAGGCGGTCCTTGAAATTTGCTTAATGTGGGACTTAAACGACATGTCCTGATCAAAGATAACTCCAAGATTCCTCACAGTGGTGCTGGAGGCCAAGGCGATGCCATCCAGGGAAACTATATCTTTAGATAATGCGTCACGGAGGTGCTTAGGCCCCAGAGCAATAACTTCAGTTTTATCTGAGTTTAACATGAGAAAATTACAGGTCATCCAGGTTTTAACATCCTGAAGGCACATTTGAAGTTTAGCTAACTGATGAGTTTCATCTGGCTTGATCGATAGATATAACTGAGTATCATCTGCATAACAATGAAAGCTTATGGAATGTTTCCTGATAATATTGCCTAAAGGAAGCATATATAAAGTGAAGAGGATTGGTCCAAGGACAGATCCTTGAGGAACTCCATGAGTAACTTTGGCGTGCATGGAGGACTCATCATTAACATGTACAAACTGAAATCGATCTGATAAATAGGACTTAAACCAGCTTAGAGCGGTTCCTTTAATGCCAATGAAATATTCCAGTCTCTGCAATAGGATCTGATGGTCAATGGTATCAAATGCAGCACTAAGATCTAATAAAACCAGTACAGAGACAAGTCCTTGGTCTGATGCAATAAGGAGGTCATTAGTAATTTTCACCAGTGCTGTCTCTGTGCTATGATGAGCTCTAAATCCTGACTGAAAATCCTCAAATAAACTATTGCTCTGTAGAAAGTCACACAGCTGTTTAACAACTGCTTTCTCCAGAACCTTAGAGAGAAATGGAAGGTTAGATATAGGTCTATAGTTTGATAAAACATCCGGATCAAGTTTGGGCTTTTTCAGAAGAGGTTTAATTACAGCTACTTTAAAGTACTGTGGTACATAGCCTGTTGATAAAGATAGATTGATCATATCTAGTATAGAGGTGCTGACTAAGGGTAGAACATCTTTAAGCAGCCTAGTCGGGATGGGGTCTAAGAGGCAGGTTGATGGTTTAGATGAAGAAATTATTGAAGTTAGTTGGTAAAGATTGAGGGAAGCAAAACAATCTAAACATTTATCTGGTTCTACAGCTGTTTCTAAGGTTCCTGAGTTAAGAGATAAGTCGGTGCCAATTGAGGGCAGGTCTTGGTGAATTTTGTCTCTAATAGCTAGAATTTTATCATTAAAGAAGCTCATGAAATCGTAACTACTGAGAGCTATGGGAATACTTGGCTCAATAGAGCTGTGACTCTCTGTCAGCCTGGCTACAGTGCTGAAAAGAAACCTGGGGTTGTTCCTATTTTCCTCTAGTAGTACGCTGCTCTAGCATTACGGAGGGCCTTCCTATAAGTTTTAAGACTATCTTGCCAAATTAAACGAGAATTTTCCACTTTGGTGGAACGCCAATTCCTCTCAAGTTTCCGTGATATTTGCTTTAATTTGCGAGTTTCAGTATTATACCATGGAGCTAACCGTCTTTGTTTTAGTATTTTCTTTTTTAGAGGGGCTACAGAGTCGAGTGTCATTCGCAGTGAGCCTGCAGCACTATCAACAAGATGATCGATTTGGGAGGGACTGAAATTAGCATAGGAGTCCTCAGTTACTTTGTGACTAGATAATGTATTTAGAGCTGATGGAATCGCATCCTTAAATTTAGCTATGGCACTATCAGACAGACATCTTGTATAGAAATTTTTGCCCAATGGCGAGTAGTTCAGCAATACAAACTCAAAAGTTATCAAACAGTGGTCGGATAAAGAGGGATTCTGTGGGAACACCACTAAATGTTCAATTTCAATACCATACACCAAAACAAGGTCGAGGGTGTGGTTAAAACAGTGAGTCGGTTCATGAACACTCTGAGAGAAGCCGATGGAATCTAACAAAGAGATAAACGCAGTACTGAAGCTGTCATTCTCAACATCCACATGAATATTAAAATCTCCTACAATAATAACTTAGTCCGTTTTAAGGACTAAAGTTGACAAAAACTCTGCAAATTCAGATAAGAATTCAGAGTACGGGCCAGGTGCTCGGTACACTATAACAAAAAGAATTGGTTGCAGTGATTTCCAACTTGGGTGCGAAAGACTAAGAACAACACTTTCAAATGAGTTATAGTTTAGTTTAGGTTTAGAGCTGATTAGTAGGCTAGAGTCGAAGATAGCTGCAACTCCACCTCCTCGGCCTGTGCCTCGAGGAATGTGAGTATTAATATGACTGGGAGGGGTGGATTCATTTAGGCTAACATATTCTCCATCACCCAGCCAGGTTTCAGTAAGACCAAATAAATCAATATCATAATCTGATATTAGTTCATTTACTAGTACACCTTTAGAAGAGAGAGATCTGATGTTTAAGAGTCCACATTTAACTCTCCTGTTCTACCGCTTTGCGGTTTGAACCCTAATAATAATAACTAAAAGAGACAAACATAGAAGGGTTCTACCGCTTCGCGGTTTGAACCCTAATAATAATAACTAAAAGAGACAAACATAGAAGGGTTCTACCGCTTTGCGGTTTGAACCCTAATAATAATAACTAAAAGAGACAAACATAGAAGGGTTCTACCGCTTTGCGGTTTGAACCCTAATAATAATAACTAAAAGAGACAAACATAGAAGGGTTCTACCGCTTTGCGGTTTGAACCCTAATAATAATAACTAAAAGAGACAAACATAGAAGGGTTCTACCGCTTTGCGGTTTGAACCCTAATAATAATAACTAAAAGAGACAAACATAGAAGGGTTCTACCGCTTTGCGGTTTGAACCCTAATAATAATAACTAAAAGAGACAAACATAGAAGGGTTCTACCGCTTTGCTGTTTGAACCCCAATAATAATAACTAAAAGAGACAAACATAGAAGGGTTCTACCGCTTCGCGGTTTGAACCCTAATAATAATAACTAAAAGAGACAAACATAGAAGGGTTCTACCGCTTTGCGGTTTGAACCCTAATAATAATAACTAAAAGAGACAAACATAGAAGGGTTCTACCGCTTCGCGGTTTGAACCCTAATAATAATAACTAAAAGAGACAAACATAGAAGGGTTCAAGGACATTCTTTTTTTCATTTTTATAAACATCATTGAAATCCAGAATGCACCGGTATAAGCAACACATTGAAAAAAAACAAGGTAAGCTAATGATATATGTGTATATTCCAAGCAGCAAACTTCCGGTCTCCGGGCTGAAGCTTTCCCGGAAGATCGAAAACCTGCAGTTCATCAAGTGGCCACTTGAGGCTGGCTCCAAAAGGGAGTCAATCCCCATTGACCCCCATGTTAAAATGGCCAACTTTACAGCAGAATAAAACATGCTTACAGCCTGGTACAAAAGATGGTTTTAGTGTATATTGCTAATTTGCCCTCAATGACAACTGTTTCAATTATATTAAGCCTTAAAGTTCTGCATTATTAGGGGCGTGGCCATTTTGAGTGACAGGCGTGTATGTCGTTTCCACGTCAGTCCACACGAACAGATACAGACTTCCACAACAATAACAAGGCTTCCAGGTCTCTGCAGCTCTCTGGCACCAGGTGGGACATCTGATCCACAGTGTGACTCTAGGAGGAAAATGTGTAATAAATGCTTCAGGTGATGAAAAATATAAAGTAAACAATACAGATGAGTCTTTAATAAATAGAATATTGTGGTGAAGTTAATTTTCTAACGTAATTCTTTTCAAAAAGTGAAGCATTTCAAACCGTTTTTGTTTTCATCTTGATTACAGTTTACAGCTCGTGGAAATAAAAACTTCAGTATCTCATAATGTATAAACATTTTAGAATAGCCTAAATACATTTGGAGCGGCTGTGGCTCAGGAGATAGAGCAGGTTGCCTGTTAATCAGAAGGTTGGAGGTTTAATCCCCAGCACCTCCAGGTTGCATGTTAAAGTGCAAGATGCTGAATTGCCCCTGGCAGCTGTTCCGCCAGTGTGTGAAAGTTAGTTTCTGTTTCAGTGCTCAGTGTGTGGATGTAGTGTAAAAGCGCTTTGAGTGGTCAAAAAGGCACTATACAGAGCATTTACATTTCTGTATTATACAGAAATGTCAAATGGAGAAGAGCTCTCTAATCAGCTAATTACCTCAAAACACCTACAAAGGTTTCTGAAGCCTGTAATCTCCTAGTCTGGTTCTGGTGCTCACAATGAACTTTTCCTCAGTATTCTAATTTTTTGAGATGCTCTTCTAAAAAATGCCTCAGTGTTTTAATGTTGACAGCACTATTATGTCACGTGGGAGAAATGGAACAAGGGAGACGGTCTTTAAATGTTTTTGTGTTGTGACAATTTTATATCAGCTGTCAAATGTCCAGTAGCCAAGTTGTCATAGTAACATTACTTACAGTTTAAGCTTTGAGTAGCAGACGTGGAGGCATCAGCTCCTCAACTAAAATCTTGTGACAAATACCTAAAGCTAGAATGTCAGAAAACACGTATGGGGTCAGCTAAATTACTCTAAGCTAGACCTGTCTTACTTTTCCCTGTTACATCAACAAAGCCCCAAAGAAATATTCTCAACAAATATAATCAGGTGACGACCAAATAAACGTAAGTAACGTTATATAAAAGAGTTCATTGATTTGCTTCAAATTGTTCGTTTGAGGTGCAAAATAACGTTTCCACATTTATATATTAAAAGCATTTAAAACCTTGTTAAGTATAATGTCAATAACAGATATGTGAGTTATTTTAATATTTTCCAGTGTCTTACCTTGACTGTGAGCTGGTAACGACCATAAACTGGTAACAAAACGTCCCCAGGTTCCAACCTCCACCGTACAGCACCGGGAGTTTAGAAGCTACCTCTGCTAACACAGAGTAGCATATAGCAATATAGCATTAGCTCCTTAGCATGAGCTAAGTCGGTCATGTCGAACTAGGCAGGAGTGGTTTCAGCAACACGTCACCACAGCTCTACCCACGACCCGCCTCTTTGCCCATTTATGGTTATCCGGGAGTGACGGGTGACATCACGGATACTAAGTCCACTTTTATATACAGTCTATGGTATATTCATATATGTATGTGTGTATATGTGTATATACACACATACATGTATATAAAAAAAAATCCCCCTCTCACCCCTTGCAGGGTGGTAAGTGTCATCCTCAAGCTTGGGTCCTCTACCAGAGAGGCCTGGGAGTTTGAGGTATTTTAGCTGTTCTTAGGACTGCACTCTTCTGGACAGAGACCTCTGATGTTTTACCAGGAATCTGCTGTAGCCACTCTCCCAGTTTGAGGGTCACAGTCCCCAGTGCTCTGATTACCACTGGCACCACTGTTGCTCTTACTTTCCACATCTTTTCTAGCTCCTCTTTCAGCTCTTGGTATTTCTCAAGCTTCTCGTGTTCCTTCTTCTTGATGTTGCTGTGGGACTTCAGTCTGGATCTTGAAGTCCCACAGGATCTTAGCTCGGTCATTCTCAACTACCTTAGGAGGTGTCTTCCATTTTGACCTTGGGACTTCCAGCCCATACTCATGGCAGATGTTCCTGTACACTACAGCTACCTGGTTGTGGCGTTCCATGTACACACTTCCTGCCTGCATCTTACACCCTGTCCTCACCCTCGGGTTTCTGCTGCCTGAGGTTTTCACTAAGCCCTTCATCTTTGGGGGCCATCTTCTTGATGTACTCCTGGATCTTTGTCATTTCATCCTGGACAGTGGTCTTGACACTCACTAGCCCTCGGCCTCCCTGGCTAAGCTTGTTGTACAGTCTCAGGGTGCTGGATTTGGGGTGAAACCCTCCATGCATTGTGAGGAGCTTCCTTGTCTTGTGATGTCAGTGGCCTCTATCTCCTCCTTTGGTCAGTTTATTATACCAGCGGGGTATCTGATGACTGGCAGGGTGTATGTGTTGATGTATGTTAATGTATATATGTATGTATGTGTGTATGTATGTATGTATATATGTGTGTGTATATATATATATATATATATGTATATATGTATATATATGTATACATATATACATATATACATATATGTGTGTGTGTATGTATATATATATAATCGTATAGACACAAAAGTGAGAACCCCTCACATTTTTGTGATACTTGATTATATCTTTTCATGTGACAACACAAGAAATGACACTTTGCTGCAATATAAAGCAGTGAGTGTACAGCTTGTATAACAGTGTAAATTTGCTGTTCCCTCAAAACATCACACAGCCACTAATGTCTAAACTTCTGCCATCAAAAGTGAGTGAGATTCAGGTGATAATTCTCTGAAGATCACCGCGAGTGATGCCTTTCACATTATCACATTGTCATTTGAAACATTGTTATTATAACAATATTGTTTATAACCGCTTGAAGTCTCAAATTGAAACTTACATTTCATTGTGTAACCAAATGTTGAAATTGAAATTGAAATTGAAATTGAAAAGTAAATTGAAATAAAATGAACTTGACCTGCATGTCTTTAATTGCTGTAGGCCATCATTACTCTAGGGACAGTTTAGGTCACTTAAAGAATAGTTCAACTTTTTGTGAAATACACTTATTCACTTTATTTCTGTGAGGGAGATGAGAAGATGGATATTTGATGTATGTGTGTTATATACAGATCTGGAGTCAAAACATGGTTAGCTTAGCTTAGTAAAAAGACTGGAAGCAGGGGTTAACGCCTTACGTGTTCAAAAATACACCTGCCTACAATTCAAAAACTCACTGATTAGCATGTTGTTTACCCTGTACACATTTAAGCTAAGACGCACAGAAATGAGACTGATATTAATTAATTACTGTTTCATTTGTCAGCAAACAAGTGAATTTCAAATTCCCCAAAATTTGGTTTCATTCCAGTGTTATTAAATTGTCTCCTTCCCTTGTCTCCTTGTCTGCCTGATGCTGGCTCCAGATCGACCGAAAGCAGTTTGACAAGATTATGGATCTGATAGAGAGTGGGAAGAAGGAGGGAGCCAGGCTGGAGTATGGAGGAGCAGCTGTGGGCGAGAAGAGCCTCTTCATTGAACCCACCATTTTCTCAGAGGTCAAGGACCACATGCGCATCGCCAAGGAAGAGGTTACAACTTGTTTCAGTTCATAACAAATGAGCCTGACACAGACAGGGAGGGAGAAAGTAAAGCCTGACACCCTGTGGAACAGTGCTGTAGATACACCACAGACAGCAGAGAGGCTGGCTGCACAGCAAGCCAGGGTGATAAAGTAAAACATGGACAGCACACTTTTAGTTCTGTAGAAGCCTGTTTATAAACAACATGAGTCATCAAATTATGGAAACGTATCATTTTAAAGGGGTAATATGTTGTGTGATTTTAAGATAGCATTGCATCATTTCTTGCTGGCTAAAATCAACACTTTGACACAGTTTTTAGTAAGCATGACCCCTTGTAGTCTTTTCACATCAGCAGACAACGGGGTCTGAGCTCAGGTGAATGTCCTTATCAGTGGAAGTATAATCACGTATTAGTGATGTGAGCAGACACATATTTCCCCCTTTATACAGAAATGTTGGCATTTGGATAAACTTGGGTAATTTCCTGCAGAGCTGCCATGCTGACTCAAAATCTTGTGGTCTTCCTCTGCTTTACAACATTTGATTAACATGTGCATTTGCGACACAAAGCCTTTTCCTTACAAGCTTTTGACCAGTGTTTTCAGAGGTCATGTGAAATCAACTTTAAACTTAGGTTGTGTTGACTGTCCCACTACTAAACCAGCACACATCTCAGAGGTAGATCTCCATATTGCTCATCAATTTCCAGAAAGCATAGAACTCCAGATGATTAAGCCCTCTTAATTGGATGGGAAAAATAGTTTTCCCCACGGTACTCACGGTACAACTGATTCCCATATTTTGAAAGTGATACCTCACGTTTACCACAGGAACTGCATTTTAATTAAGTCAATATTATTAAAATTTTACAAAACAAAGTAACTTACAGGCCATATAAATGAAGGTATTGGATTAGTTTTGCCAACCCCTGGACTCAAGAGTCACTTAAACAAATGTTCACATTCACACACTCTTATTTTCACTTTGAAATGCAGCAAGATGTCCGCACTTAAAATAAAATATATGTTGTTATGTTATTATAATTATAATTATCTATTTTTAATTTATATTTTTTTTATAATTTATAGGCTCTCCGAGATTCAAACAGTTAATGTTGTCATATTTTTGTGTTTTTAACTAAGTTCCAGTTATTACTTTCTCAGTTTAAATTACACATTCATTAAGGGTCCAAGCAGCGAAGCTGTTGTTTTGTTTCAAAATTTTATCACCAACATACATACTGTAGCTTGGGATATGAAGGGCCTGAGGGTTCAAGTCCAACGTGCCTCAGTTGCTAACTGAGGTCATAGTAACTCAAAGTTTGCCCATTGTACTTGGACCCTGTGATTGTTTATTAGGGCCTGAGCATGAACCGTGCGAGGTCACTAAAGGAATTATTTTTTTAGGGCCCGAGGGATTCTTTCTTTCTTTTTTTCTGCAAAGTAATCTCAATTTTGGGGGACTAAACACACACATCAAAAACTCAAAAAATTTGCCCCTAATTTAGGGGCGGCAAAGAATTTTATATTTTATGGGTTTCGCTCATGGGCGTGGCAAAATGGCTCGCTAGCGCCCCCTACAGAGCAGCCCCCGGACAAAGTTTCACCTTTGTGTACAAAATTTCTATGGCACATGTATCATGTCCAGATGTACAAAAAAGCCTCTTGGAGCGATGTCCTACACCCAAAAGGAAGTCGACCGTTTCGAATTTTATGATCATTTTTGGACTTTTTCTTCTTAATGGAATTTGAATTGCACAGTGTGACTGGTCTTTACTGCTATCTTTCCCCTCTCAGATATTTGGTCCCGTGCAGTGTATATTCAGCTTTGAGAGCCAGCAGGAGGTCATAGAGAGAGCAAACAGCTCAAAATATGGCCTGGTGTCAGCAGTCTTCACAACGAGCATGGACAGAGCTATGTCTGTGTCTGCAGCCCTGGAGACTGGCACTGTCTGGTAAGTCCCCATTCACGGTCTTGACAGCAGGGGGAAATATTTGGACAGCCATTTGATTCCCCCCTTCATTGTTCATTCAAAAGGATTTATCCATTTTAATTTGACATTGCTGAACAAAATTCAGGCACAAGCCGATTATGTAATGTAAATGTTGTAAGGCTGTTTCATTCAAACACAACAACAATGAAGAACAGGCTCCCCCTGACCCTCAGTACAAGTTCATCAAATTCCTACCATTTTGCCAGAAATAAAGACACTTGAGAGGTAGACAAAGTTTCATTTACATTTACTAATTTGGCAGATGCTTTTATCCAAAGTGACTTACATTTGAGAAACAACATAAAAGCATCAACAAAACATCTAATACAGCACGAGATCTACAACTGACAATAAATACTAGTAAGAGCTAGTATTTGGACACTCGTGTCCAAAGTAGTATATTGTGTCAAGGCACAACTGATCATAAAATAAATCAGTTTATTAGCTGCGAGGAAACAGCAAATTAGACTGAACAGCATGTGAAAACCAGCACAGTGAAACCAGATGCTGCATTTCCATCCAACGTCATAACTGCAAACACACGAGTCCAAGGTAGGTTAAAGCAAGGGCAACTGGACATAGCTGAAGATACTTGAAGACATTTCGCCTCTCATCACCTTGGTTACAAGCTAGGACTCCCTGCCAGTCGGTCAGAGCTGACAAAGCTTCTTGGCTGAGAAGGTCTCCCAGTATCTTCAGCCAAGTCCAGTTGCCCTGAATTTAACAATTATTGGATAACTATGGCCTGGATGACCGAGAACCTTCAGACAGTGAGACTGAGCATTCAGACAGATACATTTTCCATGTGGAAGAACTGATCATTTTCTTGACTATCTTGGTCTTCAGTTCATTCTTCCCCCAACTTTAAAAACCAGCCCTGTCCAAATCTTTACTGCAAACAGCCTGTAAAGTCTACAAACTGACCCAATCTGTGGGACGAGAAAAATGAATAGGTAGATGTTTTTTATTATTATTTGTGAAGGGGAGGATGTCCAAGCTAAAATTGTGTGTTAAGTTGCAATCTACGTTCATATTGCAGGCCGTAATGCTCAATTCTGATATATTGCTCAGATCTGGATTTTTTTGATTGACTGTTCACATAATTTATTTAATGTGGCCCATATTAGACTCCAGTGTGACCTGGCCATAGCCATAAAAGAATAATACGCAACACGCTATTGTACTGAAGTAAATATGGAGGCCACAGACGTTAGCTCATGCTTGCTAACTCTCCTGATTTTCATGAGAGCCTCCCGTTTTTCATCGCCCTCTCCAGGTTTCCTCTTGGGATCACAATTCTCCCTATTTCCTGCATTTCTCCCAATTTATGACAAATGTTCAAACTTTGTGTCCTTTTCATTGCATTCATTACAGCGTCTGGCACTGGACAGTGCGTATAAGCCCTACAACTGTCTCTCTACTGTTTCTACGTGTAGCATGCACATAACGCAGAACTATGACGACGGCGGCATGAATTCCAATCTGACTGCCCACACCGAGATCGCATTTAAAAAAAATTTATCCAAAAAATTTCAATCTGTATCTGATTTGGACCACACATGAAAGCCGCCCAAATCCAAACAGGAAAAGGTCAGAGTCCACGTAACTTGCTGTTCACACTGTTATAAAGAAATCGGATCTGAGTCTCACATGAGCAAAAATAAATCTGATTTGGGTCACTCCTGCAGTCTGAACTCAGCTTTCGTCTTCCACTTGAAATGAAACCAAATTGTTGGACTATTACATTAAAAGCTGTCAGCTGGCCTACCTCTCATTGGATTTATTTATTTGATTAAAATTTTGTTTGCCCATTGAAATGTTTTGTGTATGCTTAACAAATTAAATGAAATCAAAGCATTGCTCTCTCTCTTTCTCTCTGTTAAGGATAAACTGCTATAACGCCCTTCATGCCCAGACTCCCTTTGGAGGGTACAAGATGTCAGGCAACGGACGAGAGCTGTAAGAACCATCACTGTTCCTTCATATTTCATATTCTTCCATCGTTCCTGTTCACTGTGTGCTCCTTAACCCTCCTCAACGTGTTGTCTCTGTCCTCTCAGTGGAAAGTACGCCCTGGCTGAATACTCGGAGGTGAAAGCAGTTACCATAAAACTGAGTAAAACTCTGTGAGAAGAATCAGGACAGTCCATCGCTCTGCACGTCCCATTCCATCAGGCCACAATCACAATCTTTACAACCCATGCCCTCCCTTTGTCTTGAGTTATGCTTGTGATGTTGAGAAGGTTAGGCCAACGTGTCAGTTGGTCTATAAAATGTATCAGCGCCCAAAATGTCATGTCGATGGTACAGTTGTTGTATGGGGGGGAGATGGTAACCCCTGTCTCTGTTTAAAGATGCTCTCTGGTGTCAGTAACCTCTTCCACTGGCTGCTGTGAGAGCTTTTGGTCTGGCATTCACAGAAAGCTGACGTTATCTATTCCTGCTCTTCATTGCGTCTATGTTTAGGGTCCTTGCTCTTTGTACATCCTTTGTTATGTTTCCTGAAAAGTGTTTTCCTGACTCTGTGACTCTCTCTTTGAACAAAGATGGGGTGGCTGTCTCGTCTCCATATGCAACCACCTATTATCAAGTGATAAAAATTCCATTTGACAACAAATGAACCATCTCCATGACAACACGGAAGAAACTTCACCAGCTTATGAAGCCAATGAGTTGGAGACCCACGGATCACCTTCAGTGTCCCAGAAAAAGTAGTATAAGGAAATGAGAGGATGTCTCTGGGGTTGTTTTCTGTCTTGTCCATCAACCGATGAGAGTTCAGAATACTCCAGTGGTTATAATGATACAAATTTGCATGTCTAGTTTGGTCCTTAAAGCAAATTATATGCTGATTATATGACAAATATAAATGCACAAAATATAGCGACAAATTAGTATGACAGAATTCTAGGGGTAATATAACACAGGTTTCTTCCGGTCACGTTAGGGTCAATTGCTGAGCTAAAGTAAGCCAAAGGTGAAAGCCTGGGACTCTCCAGAACAGCAGGTCACACTCTGTCTCACCTCTCTGCCTGCTCGAGTCGACTGACTGACGCAGCTGTCTTGAAAAAGATGCTCTCTGTGATCCATCTCCAACCTATATAACCCAGGGTCAAGACTGGGTTATGAGTTGTATGTGGCTTGAATGCCACATAATGTGACTTAGGTTAACATAGGTAAGCATAGTGTCTTGTTTTGAATCAATATCCCATGGAATCTCACACATTAACCTTATTTGGACACTTGATGAATCTCTGTAGGTCTAGGAGGGGGAAATAATCCCAGATATGAAGTGTCCTTCAGATTAGGTTGTGGTACTGCATTGTATTCTCACTCTGTATCGCTTTTGCCAGTCTCCCTGGACAGGCTTCAATAAACAATGCTTTGTAAGACATCCTGAGATTTCCTGAGACCTCCTAAGAATTTCCAAAACAATCAGCAAAGATAGGGTTTTACATTTGAATTCCACCAGTTGTGTGCGTTCGTCAGTCTCCCTACATGGGACAATGAGGGATGGTCAGAAATGAAAACTGTTTTTTTATCGTTGAGTAGCTGATGCATTGTTTCTAACCTGTTGTGATCTAATATGAATGTTCTCTCTCCTGAGGAGAATGTACCTTCCCTTTCAAATGTTGGAAGGAACTCCATTTCCTGTCCCAGATAAGGTAACATTTACCTTGCCAGTAACATGTTAGTACTGTAACAGCAGCGATGTTATTATTGCACAGATAGTTGTGTGTTTATTATCACACATGGGAAACAAGTCTGTCTCTCCATTTTTCTCACATTAGTTTTGTATTTAAATAGAAATTATGAATAAAGAAAATTGAATACACTTTCTGTGTTATTCTTTGCACCTGTATGGGAATGGATCTCCTGTAACAGAAAGCTTATTAAAGTTGTTCAATCAATACATTTCGCTATGTGCACACACAAAAGTTTGTTCCTCTTATCTATTCATTGCACTGAATTGCGACGAAGTTGTGCGACCGTCTAAACAAGACGACTATAATTAATAATAATTAAACTGAATGCAGCATTGTAGACAATGACATTGTATTTTGTCCTTGTTATGATCAAAGCCTTTAGAAATTGTTCTGATCTCCCCTCCTTAAGGGTAAATTATTATAATAATCATTTAAAAATGCATTGCATTTAAATAGCACTTTTTATACACAAAAAGCTATTACAGTACTTGCACTCTGCCAAAATAGTTGTAAAAAGAGGCCTTTCTGCTGGCTCTGCCTGCATTGGGGGGGGGGGGGGGGGGGGGGCTCTGACTGAGCTGGGGGACTATCGGCCCTGGTTCTCCTGCGTTCTCGCTCCCTGGCAGCGGGGAGCGCCCTGGCACGGCTCTCTGCTGTTCTCCCATGGGGCGGGGCGTAGCTGTCCCTGGGGCATGTGGTCTCAGGTCCTTTGCGCTTTGGGGGGTTGCTGGTGCACTGGCTACTGGGGTTCTTGCCTGCTACACTGGGGGTCCCCAGGCAGCCAGTAAGACGGACAAAACCCACCCGACAACAACGGCCATGTGCTCTCAGGACTATCGCACGCCCTCATTGTGAGAGAGCCAGCAGGGGGAAGCAGCGGGATCGCCACCCCTGCTGAAGAAGGCCCCACCGAGGACAGGAGACAATGGATTCTAGGCCCAGGAACACGTCACCCACCCCAGTTATGAGCAAAAGCCAGAGGCCCGAGGCCCCAGCCCCCCAGCCACCCACACACACGCAGACCCGCCCCGGTCCCCAAGGCAGCTCAGGACAGGTTGCAAGGTTGCAAGCACCCACCCCCACTAAGTGATAGAGCTGATCATGGGGGACCAGATAGACTGGAATTTTGCCAATTGTTTTTTTTGGAAGCAGACATTCTCTCAATGCTAATGTGGTCTATAGGGAGATTACTATATTGGGTGATACTAAAATTCTTTTTAGCCTTCCAGTTCACAAGGATAGTTTAATGGCGATGCAGTGAGACTCGCATCCAGTGCCAGTCTAAGGAATAGCTGACCACTCAAGCAGGGGTTGAGCCATATCAACCACCTATAGAGCCCATCAACGCAGATCACAAACACTACTGAGGCAGCATCGCTTTACAGCTCAAAATGATGAGTTCTTTTCGAGAATCTAGCCAAGACTGCTATGGCTCCTTGGAGTCTCTCTGACAGGATTGACAGCTTTCCATCTTTCATCAGGAAACCAAAGTTTGGCAAAACTGGAGCAACCAGCCAAAAAGCAAGGGAAAAGCTCAGTCTACAGCCACAAGAGGTCTTGCCAGATCATGTGGGTCAGATGAGTAGTGTAAGTAATGGTTCTGATGATGTTGACAAGAAATGAGAGAAACCCCATCCTCTCAGCCATTGCAGGGTGTGAAGGAATAAAGCTCTAGAGGAGATTCTTAAAGGAAAATGGCATATGCTTCAGATGTTATGCTACAACTACTCATCTGGTAAGGAACTGCAAGGCAACCATCAAATGTCTAGAATGTGACAGTGATACTCATATTGCAGCTCTCCATCCAGGACAGCTACCTTTAACCACTACTAGTGTAATGAGGTTTGTGGAGTTGATATGAGTACAAGGTCCTGCTCCAAGATCTGCCTAACTAGGGTTTACCCAGACGACAATTCAGAGAAGACAATCAAGATCTACATATGTATAGATGACCGGAGCAATCAATCGCTTGCAAGAACGGAGTTCTTAGATGTTAAATGAGCAAGTTCGGCACCCTACGCACCTGTGCAGGTGTGACAGAGACCACAGTGAGAAGGGCCACAGGTTTCATTGTGGAATCCTTAGATGGAGCGACAAAGGTAAGGGAGGAAACTGCCGACTCTGATTGAATGCAATAATATGCCAAATGACAGGGCCAAAATACCAACTCCTGAGGCAACGCAGTGGCATGCACACCTAAAGCCCATTGCTCATATCATTCCCCCACTCGATCCACAGAACCACAGAAGCCCAGATTCTTCTGCTCCTGGGTCGTGACATATTCCAGGTCCACAAAGTGCGGGAGCAACAACATGGTAAACACAGTAAAAACCCTAGGCAGACAGACTCGAACTAGGTTGGGTTGTGGTGGTCCGTTTGCCTAGGATCAGTGCACGGGTCTGCGGTTGTGAGTACTTTCCGCACACACGTATTTGATAATGGATGTCCTTCTCTTCTTCCTCCATGTGCTAACCGGTTCTGTGTGATGGAGAAGTTTAGCTTCAAGCCTCCGCCTAAACTCATGTGACACTTTCATCTTCGACAACTGTGCAATAGGAGTCACAATCTTTGAAAGATCAGGTAATGATGATAAAGTTGGACTTTCTTGGACACTTTTTGGACACCATGGACAGAGAGATGGTAATGGATGACAGCAACAGTTGGGTGGTGCTGCTCCCATTCAGAACACCATGCCAGCAACTCCCCAACAATAGAGACCAGGCATTAACACAACCCAACTTCTCTCCTACACACACTGGAATAGAAGCCTGAGATAAAGACCCACTTCGTGATCTTCATGAAGACACAGTTTCATTGTAAGAGAGGACAGTAAAGATTTCCTTTGTTTTCCTTTGTTTAAAGATAACAATACCAGCAAGGAGATCATCAAACACCGCATTATGGTACATGTGTTCGGAAACAGTCCGTCTCCTGCCGTGGCCATTTATGTTCTCCGACGTGCATCTGCATATGAGTACGGGTCAGATACCAAGCAATTTGTGGAGAGGGATTTTTACATCAATGAAGGACTTCTGTCAATACCCACAGCTGCTGGAGCTATTGAACTGTTAGCACAGACACAGGAGATGCTCGCAACCTCAAATCTTAGGCTTCACAAGTTCGCTCCCAACAGCAAGGAATTAATGGATGCATTCCCCATCGAAGACCGTGCAAAAGGACTTAAAACTTGAATGTTAATCCTACTCCTATCCAATGCAGCCTCGGGCTTAGCTGCAACCTGAAGGAGGTTGTATTTGTCTTCCCTGTAGCTGACACCAAGAGGCCTTTTACATTTAGAGGGATACTCACCACTGTCAATAGTCTTTTTGACCCACTCGGGTTTGCACCCATCAACTTCTAGGGAAAGTTCCTGCTACGAGAATTATCAAGTGTAGCTCTTGACTGGGATTCCCCACTTCCAGAGAAGGAGGAAGACCAGTGGAACACTTGGAGGAAATCACTGCATGATCTCGAGCAGTTGGAGAAGCAGCTGTTTTAGCTGCAGAGATAGCAGAGATTGTTACAAGTGAACTAGACTTCACTCTAGATGCTGTGGAGTTCTACACGTGTAGCAGAGTCATTTGGGATATATCTATAACCAGACAAGATGTTTCAATGTGTACGTCAGCAACAGAGTGCAGTGTATCAGGGAGGTTTCAAGCCCATCACAATGGCATTATGTTTCTACAAAGCATAACCCTGCAGACCATGCTACTTGCTCCGTACCAGCAGACCTGTTGAGCATCCCCATCTGGCTAACAGGACCTGCTTTATTGTTGCTGTGAATAGCTGAAGGAAGGGTAGAGGAAGGGATGATGGGATGAAAGGATGTATGTGCACGGGAGTTTTATGAAGACATGACAGATATGAAGGGAGCAGGTACATGGGGAAATACAAAGGAGCTGGTGATGCGTTCTGTGGCCGTCAAGGCCCTGTGACATCATGCATGATGCCACTGGCGGTGGCTGGCACTGGCGGGGAAACTGGAAATGCTGGAGACTCTGTGGTTGTTGTTGCCGGAGTATTGATGGAGGCTAGGTAGAGATGGAACAAAGTTGTTTTATTGTCGTTGCGGTGGTAGGGAATGCCTTTCCCTCTGTCGGGCTCCGTTTGTGGAGGTAGCCGCACTATGGAGGAGGACGCGATGCACCAGGAAGAGTATCAGGTGTTTGTACGGGAGGAATGCTTTTGACAAGGAGAGGGTTGATGCCGACTCCTGTGCCATTTCTGTGGCATCCTCAATTTCCTGACCATGCTGATGGAGGGGATGAGCCTGAGAGCCACAGAGAGTCAAAGATATTTCGTTGGAGAAGCGGAGATCCTGGCGAGACCAGGGTATGGTGACCTCGGATCGTAAGCGGCTCCCCTGAGACACTTGACTAAGGTCTGACTGCTGTGGTGTGACTGAAACATATAGTATCCTCGTATAGATCATTGTCTGAATCGGGTAAATTGATTTCAATGGATGTGGGGGCAGCAGACTTATGTCAGCGGGTGCACCGTGGTCTGGGCGGCGAGTTTGCTGCCAGGCTGGGACTTGCTGCTGGTGTGTTTCTCTGCTGGCTTTCGCCGTTGTGTTCTGCCGCTTGTTCTCTCTCATTTGCTCGGCCTCGCGCGGGATACGCAGGGGGCTGCCGGGCACTGGGTGTCGCGGTGCTCGTGCGGTGTGCGGGTTGGGGTCGTCACTTGTGCGCTAATGTTTATGATTGCGTGGCATTTTGTCGCTTTGGTTGCCCGCTCCGGTGGTGGGGTGCCTTTTGCTTTCCGACAGCACTGCGTTGTCAACTGGCATTTGGATGGCCGGTTACATAGTAAAATGCATAATGTGTCATCAATCAGCAGTAAACACCCAATTCACCACAACTTACAGTTTCTGTGACTGTCTTATTTTCTTTGGTATTCGTGTCACATAGCCCACATATGCAGTGATGATTGCTGAGTAATATATGTACGGCTGCCCAATCTTAAGTTTGTATTTGATCATGTGACAAGACTCCAGAAACTCGGTGAAACGCAAACTCTGACAACAGACTAGCAGAGCACACGTGCAAGCCTGCAGTCATGCTACACATAAAAGTAGTTTCAAGAAGAGACTGGAGAGAAAAGAACAGGAGGAGAAGGTGACAAAGCACCCAGATAAGATTGTTTTGGATTTTTTTACTGAGGACATTGTCAATGCAGGCTCGTTGGATGCCTTTCAAATAAGTGAGTAACATTGCAACTGCTTTTTCAGTGGATTTGGTGTGGCTGCCGTGCCGCTGTTTTAAAGGCTGTTTAATTGTGTGGATGTGCTTGTGGGTATTAAACTGTGTGTGCACCTTAGCTGGCCTTTTTTCAGAACATGATGTTATGTTATGAGTGTGTAGGCTACTTTTCTTTCTTTTTCACCATAATATCTTGGCTCTCTGTCGAAGAGGAATGTGGTTATTGTACTGAAATTGCCCGAAAAGGTTTGCGTCATTTCAGCACTGTAAACACCTTCTGCACTCAGCTGTTTGTAGTGACATTTCAGGATTTTGACAATGACAGCACTGGCCATGCTCCTTTCTCTTTGACTTCTGTACTTTGCAAATACAAAAGTCTAGGTGACACAGTCCGACTCTAAAATCCATCACATGATGGTACTTTACTTACTAGACTGCTGCGTCCAGGTGCACACAACACGACCGCAGCAGCACATGTGTGTTGCACTGCTAAAACTAAAATCTAAGTAAGATTAATTATCTTAATTGAAGGCAAAATATACTTGTTTTTTGTCTGACAAGATAGTTCTTCTTACCAGGCCGCTTTTAATTTCACTTGTTTCAAGTTTTTTACCCTTAAGTAGTAAGTGAAATATTCTTGTTCTGTTGGCAGATAATTGTGCTTCTTTTTAAGTAATATTTCCATCCATAATCCATTTTAATGCCTTTTCCCCTTGTTTTTGAGAGCTCACTTTTTGCAGTGTGGAGAAAAACGCACACAAAGAGAACTGTTGAATTGAATGTGTTAATATTGAATTTAATTGATTTAAGGAGCTTTAAATTAGGTATTTACTGCATCTAATCTTATCAGTTGTTAAACCGTGGCAAAACGAAGATAAATAAATTTGCCAATATGGGTTTCCTTCTAGACAGCAGTATGTGTGCGTGCGTGCTTTGTAACGGTGTAGCCCAAGGGCCCATCATTACAGCCTGCACTGGGGCCCGTTGTGACTAACTTTACGTCTGACTTCAGTTAACCTTATTACTGTTCTTTTGTTTGAATACATCTGTTAAATACTCTTCCTTGGCTTGTTTTAGGCACCAGGTTTTTCTTGACATTATTTTGAAAATTACTACCGGAAGCGCCTCCGCTGTACCGTCTGCCTTGATGGAGCGTGTAAATGGAAAGTTTGCATTGTGGAATCAGGAAGTTGAGTAAAACGTCCGTGTCAGATAGTACTGTATGCCTGCCGCTGCTGAGGACCTTTAGGCTGTGAACCGCTGTGGAGATGCGTACTGGACCTCTGAGCCATGTGGTGAGCCGGCTTATGATAACTGTGTTGGAATGTTTTATGGCTGGAGTGTTATTCTGTGCAAGTGCTCACGTGTCGCTGCATCGCTTCATCAGATCTACGTGACGTTGGCATTAGAGGAAAACAAACAACAAAATCTGCATATTTCATACATTGTCGTTATTTGTAAATAACACACACTGTGAAATATATTTTTCATACTCTCAGAAAGTAACGTTACTTTCCGTTTTGGTAGTGTCATCAGTCAGGAAGAGGCAGTGATTTTAAAACCATCTGAAAGTGCAGCATGCTCACCCTCTGCTGTCTGCTGAGCCGAAGCTAACGTTACTGGGGATAAAATCCGAATTCATTCGAATCTTATAAATCAACTCCCAGTGAATCAATTAAAGCTGGGATAGGCAATGCTTTAGAAAGTAGCAAGAGGCAGCCGGGTGGGAAAGTATCCAACCGACCCCCCCGCCGAAGCCACTCCCCCAAAACAGTTGTACGTGCCCAGTGAGTGCACAGGCAGAGAGCGTGCAGGTAGGCCGGTTGGCCAGCCAATCATCAGGGATGGGCAAACATACAGCAAATGTATAAAATAAGACACCCTAATTTTAAGTGTATCAAAATTAACTTCAAAATACAGCAGCCACGCCATGTGTCAAAATAAACGAGGCTACTGAATTTTTGAATTTCACAATACTAAAAACACTTTTCCAATGTGCATGAAATCAGTTCACAAAACTTTTATCTATCAGCCTATTTCATATATCCCTTCACCAGAGCACTGACTAAGCTGATTAATTGGACAATGTTTGAAAGCAACAGCTTTTCTCTGCCTGATGACTCATGCAATAACTCTGACAGGCAGCCAGTTAACAGATTAAATATTCACATGTCCCTGTGTTTACTCAGATGAAGGTTAGTTTTAAAGTCCCAGTTTCATATTTAACTAACAGTTTGCTAATGACTCCTAATTGTATCCTAATTTAGTTACTTGGTCTTTGGTAATGAAGGGCCTACTTTACATCATTTGAACTACAACAAACATAAGGGGTGGATGGGTGTGCAGTGCATGTGTGCATGTAAGTTACACTATCTCATGGCATTATAGGCAAGGCAAGTTTATTTGTATAGCACATTTCAACAACATGGTGATTCAAAGTGCTTTACATAAAACATATAAGAACCAGGGAAATATAGAAATATTTAAAAGTTAAATAGAAACTAAAAGCAACAAACAGGACTTCAGTTACAGTGCAGTGTTAGTTATCAATCTACTAGTTAAAGGCAGTGATAAAAACAAAAATATTCAGTCTTGATGTAAAAAAAAACTGAGAATTTCAGCAGACCTGCAGTTTTCTGCGAGATTGTTCCAGATATATGGAGCATAAAAACTAAACGCTGCTTCTCCTTGTTTAGTTTTGACTCTGAGGACAGAAAGCAGACCTGCCCCAGATGACCTGAGAGGTCTGGATGGTTCGTAACGAAGCAGAAGATCAGAAATGTATTTTGGCCCTAAACCATTTAGTGCTTTATAAACTAACAGCAGGATTTTGAAGTCAATTCTTTGACATACAGGAAGCCAATGTAAAGACCTCAGAACTGGAGTGATGTGATCCACCTTTTTAGTCTTAGTGAGGACTCGAGCAGCAGCGTTCTGAATCAGCTGCAGCTGTCTGATGGATTTCTTAGGGAGCCCTGTAAGACACAGTTACAGTAGTCGAGTCAACTGAAGATAAATACATGGATAAGTTTTTCCAGGTCTTGCTGAGACATAAGTCCTTTAATCCTTGATATATTCTTCAGGTGATAGTAGGCTGACTTTGTAATTGTCTTAATGCGGCTCCTCAAATTCAGGTCTGAGTCCATGACTACACCAAGATTTCTGGCTTGATTTGTGGTTCTTAACATTACAGATTGAAGTCGAGCACTGACTTTCAATCGGTCCTCCCTGGCTCCAAAAACAATAACTTCAGTTTTATCCCTGTTTAATTGAGGAAAATTCTTGCACATCCAGTCGTTGACCTGCTCAATACATACTTACTTAGCGCTTCTATGGGATCATAGTCCCCTGGTGAAATGGTTAAGTAAATCTGTGTGTCATCTGCATAATTATGGTAACATATTTTGTTCCAGAATGGAGCCTTGGGCAACTCCACAAGTCATTTTTCGTAGCTCAGATGTGCGATTACCTATAGACACAAAGTAGTCCCTGTCCTTTAAGTAGGATTCAAACCAGTGTAGTACTGTGCCAGAAAGTCCCACCCAGTTTTCAAGTCTGTCTAGTAATATGTTGTGGTCGACCGTGTCGAATGCAGCACTGAGATCCAATAATACTAAGACTGAAATTCTGCCACTGTCAGTGTTTAAATGGATGTCATTGAAGACCTTAACAAGAGCCGTCTCAGTGCTGTGGTGTGGCTGAAATCCTGACTGAAAGACATCAAAACAGTTATTTAGTGCCAAGAAAGCACTAAGTTGTTGAAAAACAGCTTTTTCAATGATTTTACTTAAAAACATCAGATTTGATATGGGCCTGTAACTGCTCATTAATGACCAGTGTCGGGGTAGTTACTCAAAAAAGGTAATGGATTACACATTACTAGTTACTTTTTTTTTAAAGTAATGCCTTACTTTAGTAGATTACTCAGTGCTGAAAGTAACTACTTAAACTACTAGTTACATTACTTTTAGATTACTGCGTAACATCACCTGTGATGCACAATAACAATATATAGTTACACCTCATATATGCTCAGATCAACACAAATCCTTATTATAATGAGGACATCTCATTTCTCTTTTATGGTCTTTAATACTACAAAGTGAAGACAGAGTTGTGAACATCAGCCCAACATTTGTTAAGAGAAGAACAAGGCTAGAGGACAGCACTACAGACTGTGATTCTTACTGCTGAATCATTAATAGCTGCAAGCATAGAGGCCTGGGGCTGACAGTGAAAGAATCAGATGTCTTATTAAGGGGTGCTAAGCTCATCCTGGCTCCCCCGTAGTTCGCACCCTGGACAGGAGTCTCTCAAATCATTTGTCAGACAACCTATTCCTCCTTGGAGTCAGCACAAGACTTCTTTCACAAAGACTTCTTTGGCATCTCTGCAATTTCTGCATCATGTCATAATGAACCTGAAGATTTGTTTTCCGCCTCCTGCGTTCAGACTCCATCTTTTCTTACCAGAGACCACCTTCACCTTGGCTGGTGCAATGGCATCAATAATCTTTGTAACTTTAGAATTGAAATTATCTACTAGCTCATTGACTGAGACCCGTGAGAGGACGGGTGTGGAAGAGAAAGCCTTAGTAAATATTTCACTGGTGTTTTCACTGATAGGAGACAACTAGATGAACAACAGCAACAGACAGCACAGAAAAGAAAACAGTCAGGCAGAACAAACAAAACAATACAGCGCAGCAATCACAGGCAGAATAACAATTAATTTAAATAAATAACTCAATGAAAAGCATAAATAACAAGTTTTCTGATGTTGCCTTTCACATAAAAACGATCTCCAGTCTCTTCCTCACAGTGAGGAATACAACTTATTAATTTTACACTGGTATCGGATCAGTTCTCAGCAATGGCCCAGGTATTGGGATGGGTACCAGGACTGAAAAATTAGGCGCGGTGTATCCCTACTAGGAAGTTTTTTTTTTATGGGTTTAAGGCATGGGTGTGGCAAAATGGCTTGCTAGCGCCCCCTACAAAATTAGAAAATTTTGCCCTCGTCCACGTTCAACCTACATGCACGAAATTTTCTGGGGACATGTATCATTTCAAGACGCACAAAAAAGCCTCAAGAACCCATACCCTAAAGTCAACAGGAAGTCGGCCATTTAGAATTTTACGGCCATTTTTGGATGATTTACACACTTCGTACTTTAACGAACTCCTCCTAGGGATTTAGTTGGATCAACTTCAAATTTCTGCTGTGCCTTCTAAAGGCATTGAAGATGAAAAGTTGTGCTATCTGTGAGTTTTCGTCAGTGGGTGTGTCCGTGGCGTGGCGTCAAAGATCAACTCTTCGCCATGACACAGGAAGTTGTTGTAACTTCAGTGTACATGCTCACATCTGAACAAAACTTTACGTGGTTGATAACTGTCCCACCCCGAAGACATCTACACGCCAATATTAATTTATATTCATAGCGCCAAGTGCTATGAAGCACCACAAAGGGGACACAGGAAGTGAGGTTTAACACCTTCATGCAGCGTCCAAAGCGCGTAGCAAATTCACAACCGCACCGGCAGAGCTCCAGAAATGCAATGCGGCCGCCTCACACCCCGACGCGCTACACGTGCGAGGGCCCGCCCAACGCTGCTTGCAGCTTTAATTGTGGTTGTTGTTTGCCTAATAATTCTCAAAACTAAGCTAATCCCCCACAAAGCTATCAGACCTGAGGAATTAATACACAGTATTATTAACTTTACTTACTAAGATATGTTAATAAGATAATTAAGTAATTATATTCAGTAAGCTAATTTAATCAATGTTGTGTACATTTTCCCCGTGGTATCAAAAATGTTTTTTCAAGGTATTGTATCGAAGTTAGAAATTCCAGTATCGTGACAACACTACTGTAATGTCAGTTAACTGAGAAATCCTCTATGTTCTATGCAGTGTCTGCTGCCTTTGTTTTAGAGGCGTTCCACATGATCACACTATGGGTGACTCACTACTGAAGTGGTCCTTGATTTTCTGTGTGGCCCACTTCAACTGGTTTACCTCTACAGATTTATAACCAGTCCTGCTCCAATACTTTTCACCAGGCATAATGGTTGGAAAAGGTGAAATTGAATTTGAAAATGTATTGATACTCATTGTGTTTGATGTTTTTATTTTGGACATTGGATATATCTGTTGGATTAAAAGAAATACAATTCTGCTGGCTTCATTCCCAGCAGAATTTATAATTATTTTCTAAATGAAATTATATTAAAAATGCAATTAAATTAAAGACAAAATTTAATTTAATTGTGAATGAATTTAAAAGTAACACTATTTTATTAAACATTTATTTTTCAATATAATTAAATTTTCAATTATTTAAACTTGTTTAAATTAATTATAAATTAACTTGCATTACAAACTTACAAGTTAAATGAAATGGAATTACATTAAAATGTATTATGAATTATGTTAAATTGATAGATTTCATTATCATACGTGAAACAAAGTAAAAGAAGAAAATCAGCAAATAGCATTATTAATAATAGTTACAGCCAATAAAATTTTTGGTGGTACATACTGGGGACCAAAAGTCAGGATAGCTCAGTCTTTTTTTCTGTTTGTTGTTGTTTCCACATCTTTTATGGAAGTGCAGTACTGAGTCACTGAGTACTCTTCTATGTTTGTTGCACACAGATGCACTCATTAACCAGAAACAGGAATACCTGTGCAATCTAATGCAGTCCAGCATTATGGCCCTGTAATAATTCCTTTTGTGAAAGTATGATTTCTTCAGGAGGTTGTGATATTACTCCAGCTTGTCTGTAAATTCGTTTTTTAGAATATTTGGTCCAAAAAGTGACTAGTTTCTGGTGCAGATTCAGGATTTTTGTCTTCGTGCAGGGTGACAGCTGAATCCAGACCTCTTCTCTGTGGAGGAACTCTGCTCAGATAGTGGTTGACCTTGGACTCCAGTAGGAATGTCCTACTGGTCAGTTGGCCTTCCCCAGGAGTCTGGAGACACTGCCAGCAACATGGAGCAGCAAAGCAGTGAGTAATCACCCTGCATCTCATCCATCTCTAGATTCTGTCACTACACACGGCCTTGTTGTCTTGGTGTTGAAGAGGTGTGAAAAGGATGTGACTGCAAGCTAAAATGTGTCCACGTGACTGTGCTGCTTAAATTTAGCAAAAAGAGAACTGAAACTGTGATTGTTTGATTCGTAGGTCATGCTGTCTAACTGTATGTATGAAATGGACTGAATGTAGGGAGTACATGTTAGTCTCACACAAGGCTTTTCTAGCTTCTCTACAAGCAGATTTCAGTAGAGTGTGGTACAGCTGTATGGTAAATGACAGCAGAGTTAATAATAGATGATAAGGCTTTCCAGTTGGAGATTGAGATTTTAGTAGGTTTACTATCCACTTTTTCCCCCCGCAATAAGGAAGCTGTTTTGATCTGCTGTCCTATTTTGTCTTTAAACTTCCTGTCTATATCAGAAGTGGGGAATACATATTAGAGCAGTTTTACAGTGCAGTTTTTCCACTAGGATGGAGTTATAGCAGCGGAGGTGAAGCAAAGGTTTTGTCTGAATATAAAAGCCCAACACAACATGTCTCAGCAGTATTGCTCTTGTGCAGTGTTGGGCAAGCTACTTGGAAAATGTAGTGAGCTAAGCTACCAGCAACTCTACATTAAATTAAGCTTCACTACACAGAAGCTTCTGATTCACACTCGCTACGCACCTCCTGATTCAGAGTTACGTTGCTCGAGCCAAGCAACCTGATTCAGAGTTACGTTGCTCGAGCCGAGCATTGACTGCTGCCGTGCTCACACAGTGTGCGGGTGAAAACATTTGTAGCGCATAGTTTAATGATCGTGGGAAATTTTAGTAGTGATGGTCATGATTCAGCGGCGGCGTGCCACTGTTGAATGCATATAGGGGAAACACTGCAGTGTTTAAGACCGCCAGAGCTACAACAGGCTTACAAACATCCACTGCTTTTCAGCTTAGTGCTCCTGCATGGTGCTGAATCAGCTAGTTTTGTGAATCGAGCATGGCACTAGTTCAGACAGCCAAGTCAAGCTCAGCTCACACGTCTTATTTATTTTTATAATATCACTAGGAAGAATCCCATTGAGATATAATGTCTTTTTCAAGGGAGACAGCATTTAAAAGTTACATTGACACACACATGACAATACAGTACATTAAAGAGGTCATATTATGCTCATTTTCAGGTTCATATTTTATTTAGGAGTGGTACTAATAGGTTTACATGGCAAGGCAACCCAAATGTATTTACATTTACATAGCACCTTCCAAACACTACAGTCAGTCAAAGGGCTTGAATATTTGCAAAGATACAAATACAGATTAGGTACTTTATACTATAAAAATGGATAACTAACAAGCAATAGATCAAACCGATCAAGAATAAAACAAAAGACATATATATGTAAGTGCTTTATGAAGAAGTGAATACAAATACAAAGAAAAGAAGAAAAAGAGAAACATTTAAATACTTAAAAAAAACAATTAAAACAATGAAATTAAAAGAGAAACGTATTAGACTGAGCTAAACAATTGCCAGATAAATAGCGATGACTATGACTGTAAAGCCTCAGAGAACAGGAAGACCTGATTTTAAAGGACTGTAAAGTGCTAGCCAATCTCAGGTGTTTGGGGAGTTTATTCCAGGAATGAGGAACTTATAAACAGAAAGCTGCTTCTGAAGAGAACTGCAAGCAGCCCAGTATCTGAACATCCTTGGACATGTGATTCTTATTTTTTGAGATATTATTTAAGTGATAGTAAGCTGATTTTGTAATGTTTTTGATGTGGCTGTTAAGATTTAAATCTGAATCAATAATTATACCAAGATTTCTTACTTATGTTTTGGTTGTTAATGAAAGGGTCAAGATGAGCAGTTAATTTCTTCAATGCATTTGGTTAGTGAATCAATTGGACCATATTCATCAGCTGATAATGCTATGTAGATCTGAGGGTCTGTCATCTGCATAATTATTGTAGGAGATATTGTTATTTTGGATAATTTGATCAATTGACAGCATACAAATTAAACAGGAGAGGCCCAGGGATCGACCCCTTGGGAAGTCCACATGTCATTTTATTAGCTTACATGTACAGTTGCCTATGGATACAAAGTAGCCTTTGTCTTTTATGTAGGACTTAAACCCCTTTATAACTGTGCCGGGCAGACCTACATATTTTATTTTTCTATTTACAAGTATGTCATGGTTAAAACGAACATCATTTACAACCTTTATTAAAACAGTCTCTGTGCTATGATGGGAACAAGATATCTAAAATATTATAGGTCAAAAAACTATTTTTCTACTATTATTTTGGATAAATTGCTCGTTGTCCCCCAGTACCCGGGACTTTAGGGCTAGACAGGCTAGTGTTTCGTGGTTGACTGGATTAAACTCTGACATGATTGCTAGGTTCGTTTTGTGTAATTGTACCGGTGTCACTGAGACTAGACTTGGAGTGGAGGAGCTGATTTATTTCCTGATCTTCATTATCTTTTTTTTTGTTGATGAGTTCAGAGAAAAATTACTTTTTTTTTCAGTGCCAGCCTGCAAGTGGATAGTTTTCCTTTGCCTTGATGGACCAGGAGTTTTGTCTTGACGTTTTATTCATGGTATTAACAGACATTTAAAATTAAATACAGTAGGGCTGTACATAACTATTATTTTTCAAGTTGATTAATCAAACGATTATTTTTTCGATTAGTCGATAATTTTGTGTATTCTAAAGAAAAAAGTTGCCTGTTAGTCGATTAACATGCCAATCTATCCAAAATAAATATCAAAAACTTGTCTAATCAATATTTTATTCAATCATCCTGATGAAGCACGTTATAATATTATTATTATTATTATTATTATAATCTTAAAATGAATCCGATTTCCATGTCACTGATATGTTGTGATAATAACGATAACAGTCATTAATTGGGCTGCTTTACTTAAAGAGGTGGTATTATGCTCCTTTTCAGGTTCAGATCCTATGTACCAGAACAGGTTTACATGGTTTCATTTTCAAAAAACACCATATTTTTTGTTATACTGCACATTGCTGCAGCTCCTCTTTTCACCCTGTGTTGAAGGCTTCATTTTAGCTACGGAGTGATACATCTTATTTCTAAATGATCTTTATTGGGAGTTGCACATGCGCAGTTCTTAGTTAAGGACTACTAGCCAATCAGAAGCAGAGAAGGGCAGGTCAGCGAAAAGACAGTAAACTGCTTCAATTCAGCTGTAGGCTACATGTTGCCGACCAGGTTGCCAGGAGTGAGAGAGAGAGAGTGAGTGGTGAGTTATTAATCTGGAACAAAAGTATCTTTCATCCATAAAGTTTTAACTGAGCTAAGGACTGGACGATATTGCCAAAAATGTTATCACGATATAAAGTTTTATATCTTTCGATATCAATAAGAATCATGATAAGTATCAAATCTGTATTACTTTTAAGTTTAAAGGCTGATTTTTTGCTCCTCAGTGAAAATTGAAGAAACCTGATGGTTAATTGTGGTTTAAACTTATCTTTATGGTCAGAACATGACAAACATGTGATTCCAAACAGTGGATCACTTCACAAATCTGAGGGAGAACATTCAAAACAATTATGATAAAATCTTTTTCAACAAATATGCACGAGTAAAATTAAGTAAAAGCTTTCTTTCTGTCCTTTCCTCAACAAAATAAATATCTTAATAAAAAATTCAGTCCTAATTTGTGTGTGATTCAAGTGAATCAAATGAAACATTTATTGAATATTTATTGAACATTTGTTATATTGTTATTCAAAAAAATTATATCGCGATAATTATTTATTTTATTTATTAATTTATATTTATATACAAATGAGCTGTTTTCAGGCAGTTCAGAGCAGAGTTTTCTGTGGGAGATGGGAACTCCCTTTGGGCTTTTTCACTTTGCAAACCTGTTACATGCACAAGAAAGATATATAACTCAATAAAGGAGAGGAAAAAAGCCAAAAACCATAATGCCACCACTTTAAAACTTTAAATGTTTCTTACATTTATTTCAATATTGAGTAATGCAGTATGATAATCAGATGTATTTCTGCATTAGTGTGGGGAAAAGAAAACAACTGAAACGATTCACAGACTGTGCAGACAGTCACAGATGGTCAATAATGGTAGTTTCAGCTACTCGCTCATATGTAGCCGTTAAATAAACAGAAAATGTAAAACGGCCGAATGTTAGATGATACACGGCGTAACGTTACGTTACCATGACAGCAGTGGGGCAGAAATAAATTTTTACCACGGGCGGACTGGCCAATCAGGAGAACTGGGCCAAATCCCGGTGGCCTGCCATTGATAATCTCAAACAACAACAAAACATCATCTAGCAAACTTGAGCCAGCACACACACTATTCACTTTCTACAAATGCAGCTTCACCCCAACAGGTATTAGGAAGCTTCAACTCATCATATCAAATGAAACAGTCTCTTCACTCATGGCCTCAGTGGTAAACCACCACAACAATAACAATTACCTACAAAAAACATTATATTCTAAGCAGACACGTTTTAAAAATACATCAATCATGAAGTAACATTTGTATTTCAAACAAATGGCCAACTTATTAGCTAATTAACAAAACTCCCTTCACTGCTATGCATCATGGGAAGTCTGAGGGGCGGACTTAGGCTACCTAGCCTGTCACCCCGGACTCAGTGTGTGAACCGCGGTTTAGTTCTGTCCTCTGACCGGCTTCAACTTCCACTGGAAGCCCCTCAGCATCTCAGCAGCAGAGTGTGCAGCCTGCACAACATTAATGACTTGTTTTTTGTCCAAGGAGCATGTCAGAATAAGAGCGTTTTGCCTGTGTGATTTTGTTGATTTGGTTATTAGTGTTTGCTTTATGCACTTCTACTATGATTAATTAGGCTATCTAGTTAAATTGTTTCTTTTTTTTGTATGTTTTAACTGTGTTTATTGTTGATATATGATCGGGAGTCTGTACAGGGTATTTTATTTTGAAAATTG